CATTATATTTGAACAGATGCAGTATTTTCAATTTCTATGCTGTTAATATATGAGGGGATTGGAAAAAAGTATGGGGAAAAATTCTACTGAATAAAAAACAAAAAACCTGTTGATGTGAAAAAACACATCCAATAGCGTTTTTTAAAAAATTTTAAGAAAGTCAAAACGGTCAAATAGAACTTTGGAACGATTTAATGAATTTGATAAAAAAAACTCCCATAAAAAACAGTAGCACAATGAATTATCTAATTGATAAATCGTCATAAAATATTTTTCCGGCAAAAATAATACATGAAATTTGCAGAGATCACAAATAACAATGTATATATTCTGTACCATACATTTTAGAGTGTATTAAATAATAGCTTTTTTTATAAGTGTGAGGTCAGCCGATTAGGGTGAGGTTTTTCGACAGCCGAGCGGTCCGTTCTGTCGTGTGGGCGCAGAATGACTTTCTGAGACAGGTTTACCATATAAAACCGTTTATTAAATATAGAAGTTTTCCTTACAAATTCCTTGATGAACGAAGTGGCACCACAAAGTGCGCGGATAAACTTCGAAAAATTCGGTTTTCGTTACTTGTGGATGGACGCTGTCGGTGAAATACTCCGTAGGCCCCGGGGCGTTGATCACGGCTTTCGGCGGCTTCTCGTTGGACGACCTGACGAATCTGTAGATCGCTAGGAGGCACCCAGAAAACGATGCTTCCACGGTGTTCCAAAATGTTCTTTTATTTTCCAAAGATCGGGAGCACGCACGTCCAAGAGAAGAATCACTACGTATCCAAGCACCAAGAACCTTTGTCCCATGAGTCGCACGGTTTTTATAGATTTCTTAACCGTAGTCGCCTCTCCATTGGTCTCTCATTGTCACCTGGTGACAATTCGAAACCTAATGAAGGGCGCGGGAGAGGTCAACGTTGCGACTGAATATGATTCCTCTCTCTCATCGCGTTTTCCTCGAATTTATCCGTTTCCATTGTTTAACTAATTTACCAAAAAAAAAAAAAACAATTGCATTGTTCACTCGAGACACCTAATCCGTTTCCTTAGTGTCTGAAAAGGAGATTTATTTTCGATCGACACCCCTCATTCGGACCTCTCAATCGATCCCTGTTCGGGTCCTCACATAAGGCCCTTAATGCCTATTCCTGAGTTATCTCGGGTTATAAGCAAAAGGGGCTAACTAAATAATAAATATGTAATTTCTTAAATTTTAAAATAATGTATTTATTAAAATAAATGTTTGAATGCAAGTTTTTGAATGAATTATTAAATCGCCTTTTTGTAAGAAATTTATTTCAAACCACTCTATAAGATTTTTATAATTTTGAATGTGAACAAAAATTACTATAAAAATCATAGAAGCTATTTTATTTATTGAGCATTATAAAATATAGTTTAAACATACAATCTTTAATAATAAATACATAACAAATAAACATTTTGTAAAAATATGGATAAAATACAAACAAATAATAAACAAATTTTTTAAAATAGAAATAACAATAAATGAATTAAATATAAACTTTTTTGAATTTAACTGAATAACAATAAATAACAAATAAATTTTTAAAACGCGAATAACAATAAATGAAATAAATATACTTTTTTAAATTTAAATAAATAACGAAAAATAACGAATAAAAGTTTTAAAACACAAATGACAATAAATGCATCGGATATAAACTTTTTTTTTTTAAATATAAATGAGGAACAATAAATAACAAGTAAACTTTTTTGAATACAATTAAAATTAAATGAATTGAAACTGAACTTTATATAATATAATATGAACTTTATATAATATGAATAAACAACAATAAATGACAAATATAATTCTAAAATAGAAATAACAATAAATGAATTGAAAATGAACTGTTTTTCTAAATGTAAATAAAGAACAATAAATAACATATAAACTATTTTAAATACAAATTAATAATAAATTAATTTGAAAAAGTTTTCATCTTCAATATGAAGAAGGAACAATTAAAACAGATATAAACTATTCTATATACAAATTAATAATAAATTAATTTGAAATAAACTTTTTTCTTCAATATGAAGAAAGAACAATAAAATAACATATATATGTCTTTATAAATTCAAATAATTAATAAATGAAATGAAAATAAACTTTTTTTTTCAATTGTAAATTTCAAACTTTTTTTGAAATTTTATATTTAAAATATTTTTTTGTGTTTTTATATTTTAGTGAATTTTTTATAATTTTTCTCGAACATTTTTAAATAAAGATAAAAATAAAAATGAACAAATACAAGAAAAATAAAATTGAATATAAATAAATGAAGAAAAAGTAAATACAAAATCTGTGAAATTCTTCTGTTTTCTGTAAAAATAAAATAAAAATAATAAAGATTTTTCTATAATATTCAATTATTTAAATCATTTTTTAATGAATAAGTTTATTTTTTATAAGATAATAATGTGTGCAATTTGTACCGAATTATATTATGTTAAAACACTTGCATATCTACTATGAAACTAATGAAGCTTATGATTCACAGCGTCTGATTCCAGATGATTTCGAACCAATACATTTTCGATATTCTGCAGCTTACTTGTTAGATTAGGAAGACCCGTTGCTGATTTTAGAAAAACCCCATTACACTTAACGTTGAAGGATATCGAAAATGTAGGGAGGCATTGAGTCTGAGCAATTTAGCGTTTCTGCGACGTGTGATTTATAATCTATCAAATTATAGTATTGTCAATTCATATTGATATTACGTAAAGTTACTAACTAGTATTTTTCTACATACATTTATGCTATTGCTTTCGCAGTTTCACGAGAGTACAGTACTATCTTACAAAAATATTGTCTTAGAGGGAAACATTGAAACACATATGATTTAGATAAGTTATCGAACTAATTAACTAAAATTGTATTCTTTAAACACTACTTTGAATTTATAAAGTATTGTACTGTACAGTACATTTGGATAAAGTACTGTACAGTACATACATTACTGTATGTACTGTAATACAGTACATACAGTAATGTATGTACCAAACATTACTAGTTTGGTACATACTAGTAATGTATTACCAAACATTAGTAGTTGGTCGTTGTTTCGAATCGAATATATAAACAAATTAATTGGAATACAGAAATTCAATCAATATTTTTGGGTGATATGTACGACATTATCTAATTAAGAAGTGTTAATAGAGAGGTTGCGGACGACGTTTTCAACGCGAAAACATGTACGTTGGAAGTTCAGCACCGCCTTCCTGTAAGCCTAGAAGTTTCACAATGGCGTTTGAAACATCGAGCATGATTCCACTGACGTTCCAAATGCCATTGTCAAACGTCTAGGCTTACAAAAAGGCGACGCTGAACGCCTGACGTACACGTTTTCGCGTTGAAATCGTCGGCAACAACCTCTTTTATATAACTGCCGAATTTCATAAAAATTTCTCGAACGGCCTATGTGTGCATAGCAGATAAACATATTCATTTACATTTACATATAAGTTAAAGATACATACCAAAAGAAGAATTGGAAAAATTTCTTTAATTTAGAGAACTTTTTCTTTTTCGGTGCATGATCCATCGATTGATTAACATGCACATTAGGTGTTGTATTTTCAATTATCCTATTTTTATCAAAATGAAAAATAAATAAAGAAGAAACGTTTGATGACATATATTTATTAATTTTAATTAAAGATTAAAACAGCAAAATAGAATAGAACGTTTCAATGGAGGAACGAATCGATTTTTCTCCATGAGTGAAAATGTTATGTATCAAACTTTATTACATAATGAATGTTATTTATGTATATCCTTTCAGACAGAGATATTCAGTAAACTAAAGATTTATGTTACATTGACTTGATGTTTTTACAATGAAAGAATGAAACATGCGCTGATACTACCTATTTTCTCAAAACTCTATCGATTTCATTAACGTATCACCTTCATCTATGATAACAATTTTAAAAGTAGTGTCAAACCTTTCTATTATACAATGTCGTTTAAAACATTTTAGAAGTTGGACATTGATATATGCTGTCTACTGTAGGACCACCTGGATTCTTTGGAATAGGGCAGAAGTAATACAAATACAGAATGTATTAATCCATATAACTTGCAAAAACCAAATGTAAATGCCTCTCTTACAACTTAGCACTTTGAAAAGAATCTATCGCAGACAAGTCTAGTTTTACTATTTGCGTATTCATGCAATTCCCTATGATAAGGGCAATGCTATCTTGTTCTTATGGAGCAGAGAATTGTGGAGGTACAAAGGATTAAAATTCGAACTGCTAAAGATCCTACCATCAGAGATAAAGAAAATTTAATAATACAGTTTCGTGCATCATACATAACAAGAATTTTCAGGTTATTTGCCTCCTTCTGTATCTGTTAGCAAAAAGTTATCTAAAAACTACAGATCATAAATTACTGAAGATATGTCACTACTATCTGCATTCAGACAAACTTACAATAAATAAAAAAAGTTCTGTGAAAATATGAAATTTCCTGAACTTTAAGGATATTAAATACAGTAGAACCTCGATTATCCGGACTAATTGGGGATGAAGGTAGTCCGGATAAGAAAAAATCCGGATAATCGAAAATCCGGATAATGGAGGTCCGGATAATGGAGGTTCTACTGTACTTAAAATCATTAAAGGTAATATTGTATTAAATCTTTAGATCTTTCTCTTCAATTTTTACATAAATAAATTCTAAATTCAAAAAATAATGGTCATTGTAAAAACCGAATTTATCATCAATGAAGAACTTGCTCATTATCATTAAAGTATAAAAGAAATAGCAAAATTTAATTATGATTAGATCTTTCATTTTATTATTATTCTTTAACTACATAAAATGTTTCATAATTCATAACTACATAAAATTTCACAATAAAATGTTAATTTTATTGTTAATAAACGATGTAATAAAATTACATCGTTTATTTAATGTTAGTGAATCTATAAAGATTAAATATTAATTTCTGTAATATGTCATGTCTTTATATTTTCCTATAATATATTAAAATTGTTTTATTTCCAAAAACAATACAGAATGTAAGATATTAATATATGTTAAATAAATATGAAAATCATACCTATTAGAATCCTCTGTAATAACTTCCTGCTCAACTGTCTTATCACAAGATACAGGATTATTTTCGCATTCATCAGAACAAACGTTAACATTATTTTGTAAAATCTGTTGCGAGTAACATTGTTATCGTTGAAACAATCCTCACTAACAAGTAAGATCGAGAACAATATCCGAATAATCCGTTTCTTTGAATCCTTCCATGTCCCAACTCAAGAAATCATCTCGATCATTATAATTTTGTAATTTCATACTAAGAGGAGGAGGATGAATTTGTTCCTCACACATTAACTCATAATTTCTAGAAACAACAACAGAAAATAAAATAAAATTGAATTTCTAGAAACAACAACAGAAAATAAAATAAAATACATATTAAGTACGTTTTTACGTATGATTCTTATATTTAATCTTACCTGTTGAGACAATCGTTCACAGCTTGGAACTCAACTTTTTGAGCACTCGATACACGATGATTTTCGTACTCATCGCAACGAAAGTGAATATTTTCTTTATGATCTTGTTGCGAATTGGAATTGCTATAGCCGAAATATTCCCCAGAAAGACCGAGAACAATTTCCATATAATTTGTTTCTCGGTAACTTTCCAAATCCCAACTCGAGAAATCATCATTTCGATCATCGTAATTTGTTGATCTGAGATCGGGAGGATCAAGTTGCTCCTCACACAAATACTTTGAATTTCTAGAAACGACAATATAAAATGAAATAAAATACGTATTGCATACGTACAGTACATACATAAGATTTTTATATTTAATCTTACCTGTTGTGACAATCGTTGATAGCTTGCAGCTCAACTTTCTGAGCACGCGACACATGATGATTTTCATACTCATGGCAACAACAGTAAGCATCTTTCTTATCAACATTTTGTAAATTTGTATCGCTATAACATAAATAATCCTCAGCAAGATCGACAACAATTTCCATATAATTTATATCTTGATAACTTTCAAAATCCCAACTCAAGGAATCATCTTCATCATTATAATCTGTTGGGAAATTTACGCTGAGATCAGGAAGATCGAATTGCTCCTCAGACAACACAAACGCTGGATCTCTATTTTCATCTTCAAGCATATAAACATCTTCTATATTCTTTTCCATCTTGAAATCTGAGAAAAAAAAAACAATTTGTGAATTATTTGAGTTTACGCGTCAGGAAATAATGAAGCAAATATTTTTCACAGATTTATGCTCATTATTATTTACTTTGGCTAACGTAAATAAAATATATTCTATTTCAAATCAGTTTAAAATATAATTAGTAATTAATCTTAAAATTAATTTCTTATTCTAGTTTTTTGCTGTTAAGTTTAAGAACCTTATGATTACCTAACGACTAATTTCTAGATCTGTAATTCTATTTTTATAAAAATATTTGTTATGTATATTCTGTAGTCTGTCAAAATATTACTTACATTTATTATTAACGCAATTTTCTTCAAGAAACTCACCACAAACTTTCGAAAACGTCTTTTACCTTTGAAAAAAACGACTCAACAAAGAAATTGTAGCAATGGAAAATCTATTGTTGCCAAAGTTCTTGCCTTTCCGCGTGACGATTAAGCTGTCGTAGTAAAAATACATCAAATTATTAAAATATTGAATGCATGTTTATTTATTTCTGTTTATACCATCTTTGTTACCAATAAGTTCTGTACATTAATCGCTGGGCATTATAGAAAAGTAACATTTATAAACTGTGGATAAATATGTTATTAATGCATAAGCATACGTTTTATATTTATAAATAAGCTGCTCCTTTTATCTTTCTTCTTTTGCATCAGTTTAAATAATGCTGAATTTACAATTCAAGTAAAATTTGGAACAAAAATTTTAATCTGTAAACTAATTTGATAGCAACATTTAGCTGTAACTGTTACTATAATTAGAGTTATACTACTGCTGTTTGTGATTAAAAATGTATCTTCGGGAATCAGAAACGTATATTTTTAATTGAACAAGTATGTGTTAGTTCAGAGTAGAGTGATGTTTTTGAAAAAAAAAAAAAAAAAGGATCGATTGTATCCCAAATTTAACTTTTCCGGCCTGTATATATTACACGGGAAAGTATGACGATCGATGAAAAAATTATCTTTAAAGCTTTTTACATTTTTAAACTTAAGACACCTTGAGACGTCGGAAAATGCAGAAACTGAGAGAAAGTGTTTTCTGTATGTATAAATGTTTGTATGTGTGGAGCAGGATTTTGTTCACCCTTTTTGCAGTTGTGCTTTTTGTTGTAAATTTCTAAACTTTTGCGCAGAAATTTGTTTATTAGGTGATAGATGCTATTAAATTTTGATGAGTAAAGATCACTGATGGGGAATTAAAGGGGGTCATGTGTATCTCCAGTAGAGTCTGACTTAATTAATGACGATTTTACTCATAATAAGCATTTACAAATTTCCTAAAAAACCATTTTTACTCTAAAAGCAAGATTAATAAAATAAGGTGATACAACATTTAACTGGCTTATTAACGATCAATTCTTACCATGAGAACTTTTCATGAAAAAGAATTACAGGCCTAGTATTGGACAGAAAAAATCCGTATAAACTCAACGTGTCTAAACATTTTCGAGCTGAGAACCCACGACAGGTACTAGAATTTAGTGATTTTTTAATGAAAGTAAAAATTAGTAAAATTATACTATGATTTTACAAATTAGAATAAAATTATTTGTAGAAATTTTTATATTTTGAAAGATTGTCAGATTAACAAATCCATAATTAAATTAACAAACAGTGCATTGACAAGTTCCAGATTAACAAACTTATACTGTAATATTATTTCTTACATTTAAGATAAAGCTGATAATAAAGTTATAAATCTAAGCTCGTTCAATATTACTAATATATTAAAATTATTTATTATATTTCAGTTGTAAGTACAATGAATATTATATTATACGTGTTTTTCGAATATATATGTAATGAAACACTATTCAGTGAGTATAAATTCATCCATAAATAGCATTAATGGAGCTACTAAATTTTTAAATATACTGTACAACAAACGATTATTTTCAGGAGATATACCGTACCTACTTAATGAAAAAGGAGTGGTTACAGCAGTGTCTTGTTACGAACCATGGACACCAAAATACATCGGAACAGTAGAGTTAAGCTTACGATATGTACTGTACCTACATTCTGGAATCAGATGCATCCTGTTGACACTCCAGTAAATGCTTCTTTTGTTGTTAAAGTTGAAGAAAAAGTGCTGAAAATCGTAAGTACGCATCAAACTTGTAATGAAAAATTATCCTGTGTAATTCTGAACTCTTGCTTTAGTGTATCAGTCTGGAAAGTTGTGAATCTTTTTCATATAAATTTAAGTACGAAATAAAGATACATAGGAACCTTACTGTGACTATTGGTCTTGCATACGTAAGTAAAGTTTTAATAATTTTTAATTGAAATAAACATGTAGTTAGAAAGTTACAGCATAAATATGTACACAATTAATATATATCACATTTCCGTTAATCTGAAAAACTTATTCAATCAGATTAGAATTATTTTTAACCTAGTTGAACAGTTAAATTAGATAAGATTGATTCAGTGCCCACAGAATGAAAAGAGTAAAAAATAAATTTGTAATACATATAATACATATATATATATATATAGTACGTGCAGAAAAAAACAATAAGCTTCACAATAGTTTTTACTACGCACTGGTTTCCAGCATTTCTCAGTTAAAACCTCCATAAGAAATCAGAAATACAGTAATACCCCGAACTTACGCGATAGGTGGGACCGAGCGGTAACCCAGTGGCGTAGCGTGGCTGTTAGCCGCCCGGCTGACACCCAAATTAGGAACATATTTAACCGATCGAATGAACTTTTTAATTGGCAAATTACCTATAATGTTTTGGCCAACTTCCCATTTAACCGGCTTGTTTACATGGGCATTTCGCCGCGATGATATAAACATAATGAAAGTCTGAGAGGCAAGCTCCTCTCAGACTTTCATTCTTTGCCAGGGGCAACTTTCCTATCTCTTTGGGATATCCCTGACCAGACTCTCTGGGCCTGGAAGGAAGATAAACCACTTCTAAACGACATTGTCTCCCTATCTCTTAGTATACAGTAGCATGTAAGATAGCAAAGGTTAGTTATAATTAGATTATAAGTTTTCTTTCTTTGGTTTTTGGGAAGTGGTTTTTTCTCTTTAGCCAATCAGATTTCCATCTCCCTATCGTATTCCCTGTTAGACTACATTCCTATGCCTTCTTCCATAAGGATATGGCAGTAGTTTTGGCGGGGGCTCATACCTCTGTCCGTGTTATCCAGTGATTCACCTGACTTCTGCGTTATTGGATAGGATACTGTTTCAATTTCGTCTTCTAGTCGTTGACTCCCCTGCTGCTACAGCATGTGTGACGAGGCAATACTTTGTTTTTTTACGTCTTCTTTCCTCGGAATACAGAGAACAGTCTTATTCACTAAGATGAGGCACTGTGCGGCGAGGAGGTACTGATTAAATGATCAGACAGTTATTGCGGATGAGGGTGGGTGGCGGTCTTTCGTCATTTCGCAGGAGATTTATTCCCCCGTGTAACATCAATGAGATTCAGATAAGAAAAGAGCTGTCGATCGAGCGGTCTTTTTCACTCATATTCGGAAAATAAAATTTCTTTACGTAAAGAATTGCGCAAAGAAATAATCCTTTCCGGACGTTTTTACATTCCCTATTTGTGTTTATTTAACACGGGCCCACCAGTGGCCAAGCGGTCATCGTTCTCTGAACACTGGGAGTTCGGTCATTGGTTCGTGCCTCGTTCGGACGGGCTAGCACATGGAGTTTTCCAGGTTTTCTCCACGTCTGTAACGCCTAAATAGGTGCAAGTTTCCCTTAATTAACGGGGGTTGAATTTCGTTGAACGTCCAATGAGATGAAAGGGTTATGGAAACTTGGACAAACTGGGGGAATGGGAGTTAAAATTTCCAGAAAAATACGGACGTAATTTATGGACGGTTCCAAACTAAAATGTCTGCAGGAAATAAATAGTAATTTTAAAAAAATGGCATAAATGATATTTTTGTATTCATTCACTTTTACAAAAGAGTTAAAATTATTCATAGTTTTTTATTTTGTTATATGTATTGTAAATTTTCAGTTTATGACGATAATTTAGAAAAAGATGTTTTGCTCTAAACTATTTCAAACGAATTCTAATTCTGGCAACACTGTTTTCGATGAACGAAATGATCAAACACGTGGAAAATATACTGTAGTTGAAATGAATGTTTATCCGTTTTAGTGGGAACGACGTTATTGTTCTTGTACACATATAATATATATATATATATCTGTTATTTATATAAGAAGATTCCGGTTTAAGAGATTTCAAATTATATTTTGAAAAAAATATGATTCTGAAGATGGAGAATTTAGACGATTTTCCGACTGAAATTCAAAATCAACTTGTTACTTTTCATGGCAATCTCGAAAAAATGGGAGATGTTTTACAGACTTTACTACAGTTTGATTTCGAGGACGAAAGAGTAAGATCATTCAGTTTTAAATTTTACGAATAAAAAATTGATAGTAGTTTAAATAAATATACAGAAACTCGCTTTAATATTTGGCCACCCCTTGAAGTTGATGTTTTTAATGTGTATAATAATAATAGCCACTTTAATATTCGGTTACCTCGGTTACTACTGTATACGATTGTGAAAATGCTGTCTCGAGTAACACACTGAATAGGTCTTAATATTTAGTTGGGTACCCTTTATTTTTTACCACAGCCTTCAAACGGTTTGCATATTTATAAAAATTTTCTTGGTATATGTAGGTTCAATGCCTGCTCATTCTTCTGTCATCCTCCTCTTTCAGTTCTTCCTTTGAAGCAATTGGTGTTCTCCGAATTCTAAAACAGAGTTCATCTTGTAAATTCTCAATGGGATTGAGGTCGGGCGATTGGAGAGATGTTTCGATAACTTTGGGGCAATTATGGAAAAGCTATTGGACCACTATATAAGAATTATGTTTGGGATTGTTATCTGGTAAAATTTGAATGTTTTTCTTATCCCCAGCTTTTCTGCATTTTGTGTAAGTATTCTTTGAGAATTGTCAGGTTGTTTTTTTGCCATGGTTTCCTCAATAAATTTCAGTTTGCTTGTGCCAGCTGCAGATATGCATCTCCACACTATTACTTTGCCTCCTCTGTGTTTCACAATTGCCTGTAAATTTTGTTTTCGCAGTTCTTCATTTGCTTTGTGCCACACTAGAAATTTACCATTAGATTGAAAAATGTTGAATTTACTTTCATCTGCAAAGATGATATTTGTCCACTATGCTGACTCCTTGTTCACATGGGCATTTGCAAAGTCTAACCCTTTCTTTCTATTCACTTTGCTGACATAGGGATTTTTCTTGCTACTCTTCCATTGTAGCCCTCATTTCACAGGACCCTCCAAACTGTCTTCAGGTGCACTTGCTTTTTACATTCTTGTAACAATGCCACTGTAATTTTAGGTGCTCTCAGTCAGTTTTTCTTCACCTTTCTCACGATCAGATGCCTTTCTTGATCACTCAGTTTACATGGTTGACCTTTCTTCAACGTATCTCCTGTCTTATGTTCTTTTTGGTATTGTCTTGTGATATCACTGACTATACTGCATTGTATATTTAATACACAAGCAATCTCCCTGTGTGAAGATCCCTTCTCATGGTGTAAGATTACCAGCTGATGCTCAAACATTGTATTGCAACCTTTTTGCTCCATTTGAAGTGTTGCACTTCCCTGATCATGTTAATATGAATTCTCCAATAGCAGCATGAGAAATGACAAATCACAGTGACTTTGATTTGCATATTAACATGAAAAAAAGACTTGAAATTACCTTGTCTCTGTAATGGCTGAATATTAAAGTGACATGATTTTGAGCCATTGTCAAGAAGAGGATCAAACTATTGGCACTTCAAGCTCAAGACTTATAATGATGAAATAATACACATGGAACATTATCTGCTTCTTGTAATTTGTTGTTTTTATCACATGGCCTTACATTATATAATTGTTATATGGAAACTTCAATGTACTGGAATGGCCAAATATTAATGTGGGTCTTTGTATATACAATTTTTGAATGTTTCTTTGTAAGTTGCATAATTTACAGTAAGTTAGAATTCTTAAGTGTTGAAAAAAAATGTTCATGGTTTATGTTTTATGATTTTCAATAAGTTTTATGAATTAATGAACGAATGTTTTATACTTTCAATAAGGATTTTTTTTCCTACTTTAATTAAAAGTCTCATCAGTAAAGCTACTGTTCCTAAATAACAAAATATAAATTCTTGGATAGAAGTTACTTTGAGTTAATTTATATACAGGGCATTGACTCATAGTAGTTGTGTTGTTTGTTTGTTTTTTTTACAGGTGAATCACGGCATTGAGTAAGGAGTTTAAGTTATTTAGATGAAGAGACATCTCAGTCAGTGTGAAGTTACTGAAAAGTTTTAACAGGCTGTAGCTAGACTTCTCATCAATCACATATAGCAGTCTGGGTGTAGCCCTTTAAACTCTTTGGCAACTTTACTTTGACTTTGGTTCCTCATCATCAAAATAACTTGAATTTGTTCTTCCTTACAACTTACCTAAAGGAATCATCTAACTTTTGAAAACTTGAAATAATACTTATTTACATTTTAATTTTTGCATACTTTAAATTATTCATTTGAAATCATAAAGCAACAGCCTTTGCAGTTTCATAAGCAATGCAGCAGTGTGAGGTGTATACTCATAACATAAAAGTACTATAATTTCTGTTTTTTGTCAGTGTAATGGATTTTAGCATTAATAAATTATTGGGTTGTTCAGAAAGTAATTTCGTTTTTTTTACCACTTACGAATTAGTCATATTTTTTCCGCCATTTTTATTCTAAACCATATTATCATTATATATTTTGACAGCTAGAATTTTAAGGCTTATTTATAAAAAATTTTGTTTGATTTGTGTCCATATTTGATGAGACACAAAAATTGAAATTTTTGTGTCTCATCAAATATGGAAGATCGAAAGTAGCATTTTCGACATATTTTGCTTTTTTATTACCAAAAAAATAAAAATGCCATTCAAGCGAGAAAAAAATCATGTGACATGTATGGTAGAGATCTGTTGGCAGAACGACAGTGCCAAAACTGGTTTACAAAATTTTGTTCTTGCAATTTCAGTATTGAAAATGCACCACGTTATGGATGGCCAATTGAAGCCAATGAAAACAAAATAAAAGGTACCGATTGAAGCAAACTGCCGAATAACAACACGTGAAATCACTAAGAGATTAAATTTGTCAAATTGAACTGTTTATGAGTACTTGAAACAAATTGGTTTCGTTTCAAAGCTCGATATATGAATTCCATGAGTTCTTAAAGAGAAATGCTCTATTTGGTGGGATATTATGGAAATTTTTTTTTTGGAGCTTTTACCAGACAATTTAACAATTGATTCGAAAGTGTACTGCATTTGAGTAAACAAACTGCGTAATATCATCAAACAGAAAAGACAGACAGAATTGATCATCAAAACAGGTGTAGTGTTTTATCACAATAATGTCAAATTTCACACAAGTTTGGTAACTTGTCAGAAACTGTTATAACTTAGATGGGACTGCTATCACACTGACCATATTTGCCAGACTAAGCACACTCAGATTATTACTTGTTTCAATCTATACAAATTTTTTTTTAACTGTAAGACATTTACCTGAAATGACAATGTCAAAAATCACTTGGATCGGTTTTTTGTAAGCAACGATCAAAACTTTTATGAATGTGAAATCGTGCTATTACCAGAAACTATGACAACAAATATTTCAACAAAATGGTCGATAAATAATTCAACAAAATATTTATTTATTATAAAATTAAAAATATTGCGTTTTTTCCACTGAAAAAAAAACAAAATTACTTTCTGAACAACCCAATATATATTAAAGGAATAAGCTAGACTCTGGAATTACTTTAATTTTTTTGGATTTAGGAAACATGATCCAAGTTGAAATATAACCAAAAATTGTGCTGACTTTACATTGGTGACTCTAGACTTTCCCTTTTGACATATAACTTTTTTAGGCCATCTTTTTCACTGTGTTTTAGAATTCTTACAAATTCTAATATGATTCATGAATTGCTTAGAATCAATAGTGCACAATAGAAACATAATAGTGTTATTGTAACAATATTATCCACAGTGGTGTAGCGTGGGTGTCAGCCGCCCAGGGCAAAGGAAAATTTTGCCATCCCCTTATTTAGGTATCTCAATTTAAAAGAATAAAATTCATTTCTGCTTCTGACACAATAAAGTGCTATAAATTAAAACACTTGGTGGTTTTTCTCATCTTTATTTAGTTGATATGGGTGAAAAAATTTACACGTTTCGGGCTCCTGAGTATCAACTAAATAAAGATGAGAAAAACCGCCAAGTGTCTTAATTTATAGCACTTTATTGTGTCAGAAGCAGAAACAAGTTTCAAAGCATGGTTTCATATCATTTTAAAAGACTAAAATTCAGTTTTGTCACAGAATAAGTAATGAAAAATTCCATGCTACTGTTGCCACCTTTTTAAAATCGCTGACCTGGACAGCAGGTGAGGTTTGTTCAAGCAGAAGTTCCTGACGCATGCATATGTCATTTTGCAATGTGAAGAATAATGTGTAGTGCACGTCGGTTCCAAATCAGTTATAGTTAGCGAGTAGGGAGACTCAGGTAGGAGTAACGTAAGTAACCTAGACAACTTAGCTCTATTGGATATTGGAGGTGTACATGAATATGATTGAATCGTACAGGCAAAAAAAAGAAAGAAAGAAAAGGTTGACAGGTTGTGCACGGTATCTCCGGATAAATTAATAGTTCATCCAGACAGTGAGTCGATTCCAGGACTTTCTGGATGGTAACACTATTCCCCATGCTCATTTCAATCAATCCAAATTGTAGGTGCAACGATAATATGAAATAAAATGGTTCAAATTTTTACAAGATATTATTATTATTATTTATTGTGAAATTTTGCTGCCCCCCCCTATGCTACGCCACTGATTATCCATAAGACAAAAGGCTGGTAATTTCTAGGGAGTCAATTTATTACTTGATAAAATGTTTTTTGAGACTATTATATCTTTTTGTCAGATCCAAACTTAATAATATGACTTTATTAAATGTAAAAACATAGAACAACTACAGTTGAATAACAAAAATTTCAAATAATTCATAAACATTCTAATTGTGAGATGATTCAAATCTAATGACCAATAAGATCAACATTTTTCTGTAGAACATGTAAAAAATTACACAAATTAAAACATTAAAAAATAAAAAAATAAAATAAAAAACAAAAGTAATAAAAATAAATCAACATGTAATTGTAATGGCTGGATTAGCAGCTAAACTATTAACATAAGGATGTAATAGTAATAAATTCAGTATTTGACTGACTAATATACAGTATACAGATATTTACTTCTAGCCATCTTAGTTAAGTGACAAAATAAAAATTAAAAATTTTTTCATTATTATCTGCTCAGAAATGTTATTAAGTCTGATTAACTTGTATTTGTGAATGTTATTAGCTATTCTATAGTTAGAACTGTAAAGTATATTTAGAGTAAAATTTAATATTACTAACAAATTTATATGTTAATATATATATATTTATCTAAATTTTAAATGTTATTTTTGTATTTACTATAATAATTATAATTTTTAATTATTCTGATTTTAATATTTTAGCTAACTCCATTAGAGAAAGCAAGGTTACATTTAACTTCAGCATATACAATGAACTCATTGTTTTGGAGTAAGTGTTTACATATTTATGAAATCTTTTTAGTCTATTTTAATTTTGAAAACATTTCTTAGTTTTGATATTCTTGACAGTGTATTTGGTATGTAAAGGAGAGAATCCCAAAGAACATCCAATTAAAGCTGAAATAGTAAGTTTTCTCTTTTATATAATTTACATACAATTATCAGAACTTATGAATAAAATTTTGACACTACTAAGAAACAATGTTATTAAAATGATGACNGATAGCAACATTTAGCTGTAACTGTTACTATAATTAGAGTTATACTACTGCTGTTTGTGATTAAAAATGTATCTTCGGGAATCAGAAACGTATATTTTTAATTGAACAAGTATGTGTTAGTTCAGAGTAGAGTGATGTTTTTGAAAAAAAAAAAAAAAAAAGGATCGATTGTATCCCAAATTTAACTTTTCCGGCCTGTATATATTACACGGGAAAGTATGACGATCGATGAAAAAATTATCTTTAAAGCTTTTTACATTTTTAAACTTAAGACACCTTGAGACGTCGGAAAATGCAGAAACTGAGAGAAAGTGTTTTCTGTATGTATAAATGTTTGTATGTGTGGAGCAGGATTTTGTTCACCCTTTTTGCAGTTGTGCTTTTTGTTGTAAATTTCTAAACTTTTGCGCAGAAATTTGTTTATTAGGTGATAGATGCTATTAAATTTTGATGAGTAAAGATCACTGATGGGGAATTAAAGGGGGTCATGTGTATCTCCAGTAGAGTCTGACTTAATTAATGACGATTTTACTCATAATAAGCATTTACAAATTTCCTAAAAAACCATTTTTACTCTAAAAGCAAGATTAATAAAATAAGGTGATACAACATTTAACTGGCTTATTAACGATCAATTCTTACCATGAGAACTTTTCATGAAAAAGAATTACAGGCCTAGTATTGGACAGAAAAAATCCGTATAAACTCAACGTGTCTAAACATTTTCGAGCTGAGAACCCACGACAGGTACTAGAATTTAGTGATTTTTTAATGAAAGTAAAAATTAGTAAAATTATACTATGATTTTACAAATTAGAATAAAATTATTTGTAGAAATTTTTATATTTTGAAAGATTGTCAGATTAACAAATCCATAATTAAATTAACAAACAGTGCATTGACAAGTTCCAGATTAACAAACTTATACTGTAATATTATTTCTTACATTTAAGATAAAGCTGATAATAAAGTTATAAATCTAAGCTCGTTCAATATTACTAATATATTAAAATTATTTATTATATTTCAGTTGTAAGTACAATGAATATTATATTATACGTGTTTTTCGAATATATATGTAATGAAACACTATTCAGTGAGTATAAATTCATCCATAAATAGCATTAATGGAGCTACTAAATTTTTAAATATACTGTACAACAAACGATTATTTTCAGGAGATATACCGTACCTACTTAATGAAAAAGGAGTGGTTACAGCAGTGTCTTGTTACGAACCATGGACACCAAAATACATCGGAACAGTAGAGTTAAGCTTACGATATGTACTGTACCTACATTCTGGAATCAGATGCATCCTGTTGACACTCCAGTAAATGCTTCTTTTGTTGTTAAAGTTGAAGAAAAAGTGCTGAAAATCGTAAGTACGCATCAAACTTGTAATGAAAAATTATCCTGTGTAATTCTGAACTCTTGCTTTAGTGTATCAGTCTGGAAAGTTGTGAATCTTTTTCATATAAATTTAAGTACGAAATAAAGATACATAGGAACCTTACTGTGACTATTGGTCTTGCATACGTAAGTAAAGTTTTAATAATTTTTAATTGAAATAAACATGTAGTTAGAAAGTTACAGCATAAATATGTACACAATTAATATATATCACATTTCCGTTAATCTGAAAAACTTATTCAATCAGATTAGAATTATTTTTAACCTAGTTGAACAGTTAAATTAGATAAGATTGATTCAGTGCCCACAGAATGAAAAGAGTAAAAAATAAATTTGTAATACATATAATACATATATATATATATATATAGTACGTGCAGAAAAAAACAATAAGCTTCACAATAGTTTTTACTACGCACTGGTTTCCAGCATTTCTCAGTTAAAACCTCCATAAGAAATCAGAAATACAGTAATACCCCGAACTTACGCGATAGGTGGGACCGAGCGGTAACCCAGTGGCGTAGCGTGGCTGTTAGCCGCCCGGCTGACACCCAAATTAGGAACATATTTAACCGATCGAATGAACTTTTTAATTGGCAAATTACCTATAATGTTTTGGCCAACTTCCCATTTAACCGGCTTGTTTACATGGGCATTTCGCCGTGATGATATAAACATAATGAAAGTCTGAGAGGAAAGCTCCTCTCAGACTTTCATTCTTTGCCAGGGGCAACTTTCCTATCTCTTTGGGATATCCCTGACCAGACTCTCTGGGCCTGGAAGGAAGATAAACCACTTCTAAACGACATTGTCTCCCTATCTCTTAGTATACAGTAGCATGTAAGATAGCAAAGGTTAGTTATAATTAGATTATAAGTTTTCTTTCTTTGGTTTTTGGGAAGTGGTTTTTTCTCTTTAGCCAATCAGATTTCCATCTCCCTATCGTATTCCCTGTTAGACTACATTCCTATGCCTTCTTCCATAAGGATATGGCAGTAGTTTTGGCGGGGGCTCATACCTCTGTCCGTGTTATCCAGTGATTCACCTGACTTCTGCGTTATTGGATAGGATACTGTTTCAATTTTGTCTTCTAGCCGTTGACTCCCCTGCTGCTACAGCATGTGTGACGAGGCAATACTTTGTTTTTTTACGTCTTCTTTCCTCGGAATACAGAGAACAGTCTTATTCACTAAGATGAGGCACTGTGCGGCGAGGAGGTACTGATTAATTAAATGATCAGACAGTTATTGCGGATGAGGGTGGGTGGCGGTCTTTCGTCATTTCGCAGGAGATTTATTCCCCCGTGTAACATCAATGAGATTCAGATAAGAAAAGAGCTGTCGATCGAGCGGTCTTTTTCACTCATATTCGGAAAATAAAATTTCTTTACGTAAAGAATTGCGCAAAGAAATAATCCTTTCCGGACGTTTTTACATTCCCTATTTGTGTTTATTTAACACGGGCCCACCAGTGGCCAAGCGGTCATCGTTCTCTGAACACTGGGAGTTCGGTCATTGGTTCGTGCCTCGTTCGGACGGGCTAGCACATGGAGTTTTCCAGGTTTTCTCCACGTCTGTAACGCCTAAATAGGTGCAAGTTTCCCTTAATTAACGGGGGTTGAATTTCGTTGAACGTCCAATGAGATGAAAGGGTTATGGAAACTTGGACAAACTGGGGGAATGGGAGTTAAAATTTCCAGAAAAATACGGACGTAATTTATGGACGGTTCCAAACTAAAATGTCTGCAGGAAATAAATAGTAATTTTAAAAAAATGGCATAAATGATATTTTTGTATTCATTCACTTTTACAAAAGAGTTAAAATTATTCATAGTTTTTTATTTTGTTATATGTATTGTAAATTTTCAGTTTATGACGATAATTTAGAAAAAGATGTTTTGCTCTAAACTATTTCAAACGAATTCTAATTCTGGCAACACTGTTTTCGATGAACGAAATGATCAAACACGTGGAAAATATACTGTAGTTGAAATGAATGTTTATCCGTTTTAGTGGGAACGACGTTATTGTTCTTGTACACATATAATATATATATATATATCTGTTATTTATATAAGAAGATTCCGGTTTAAGAGATTTCAAATTATATTTTGAAAAAAATATGATTCTGAAGATGGAGAATTTAGACGATTTTCCGACTGAAATTCAAAATCAACTTGTTACTTTTCATGGCAATCTCGAAAAAATGGGAGATGTTTTACAGACTTTACTACAGTTTGATTTCGAGGACGAAAGAGTAAGATCATTCAGTTTTAAATTTTACGAATAAAAAATTGATAGTAGTTTAAATAAATATACAGAAACTCGCTTTAATATTTGGCCACCCCTTGAAGTTGATGTTTTTAATGTGTATAATAATAATAGCCACTTTAATATTCGGTTACCTCGGTTACTACTGTATACGATTGTGAAAATGCTGTCTCGAGTAACACACTGAATAGGTCTTAATATTTAGTTGGGTACCCTTTATTTTTTACCACAGCCTTCAAACGGTTTGCATATTTATAAAAATTTTCTTGGTATATGTAGGCTCAATGCCTGCTCATTCTTCTGTCATCCTCCTCTTTCAGTTCTTCCTTTGAAGCAATTGGTGTTCTCCGAATTCTAAAACAGAGTTCATCTTGTAAATTCTCAATGGGATTGAGGTCGAGCGATTGGAGAGATGTTTCGATAACTTTGGGGCAATTATGGAAAAGCTATTGGACCACTATATAAGAATTACGTTTGGGATTGTTATCTGGTAAAATTTGAATGTTTTTCTTATCCCCAGCTTTTCTGCATTTTTGTGTAAGTATTCTTTGAGAATTGTCAGGTTGTTTTTTTGTCATGGTTTCCTCAATAAATTTCAGTTTGCTTGTGCCAGCTGCAGATATGCATCTCCACACTATTACTTTGCCTCCTCTGTGTTTCACAATTGCCTGTAAATTTTGTTTTCGCAGTTCTTCATTTGCTTTGTGCCACACTAGAAATTTACCATTAGATTGAAAAATGTTGAATTTACTTTCATCTGCAAAGATGATATTTGTCCACTATGCTGACTCCTTGTTCACATGGGCATTTGCAAAGTCTAACCCTTTCTTTCTATTCACTTTGCTGACATAGGGATTTTTCTTGCTACTCTTCCATTGTAGCCCTCATTTCACAGGACCCTCCAAACTGTCTTCAGGTGCACTTGCTTTTTACATTCTTGTAACAATGCCACTGTAATTTTAGGTGCTCTCAGTCAGTTTTTCTTCACCTTTCTCACGATCAGATGCCTTTCTTGATCACTCAGTTTACATGGTTGACCTTTCTTCAACGTATCTCCTGTCTTATGTTCTTTTTGGTATTGTCTTGTGATATCACTGACTATACTGCATTGTATATTTAATACACAAGCAATCTCCCTGTGTGAAGATCCCTTCTCATGGTGTAAGATTACCAGCTGATGCTCAAACATTGTATTGCAACCTTTTTGCTCCATTTGAAGTGTTGCACTTCCCTGATCCTGTTAATATGAATTCTCCAATAGCAGCATGAGAAATGACAAATCACAGTGACTTTGATTTGCATATTAACATGAAAAAAAGACTTGAAATTACCTTGTCTCTGTAATGGCTGAATATTAAAGTGACATGATTTTGAGCCATTGTCAAGAAGAGGATCAAACTATTGGCACTTCAAGCTCAAGACTTATAATGATGAAATAATACACATGGAACATTATCTGCTTCTTGTAATTTGTTGTTTTTATCACATGGCCTTACATTATATAATTGTTATATGGAAACTTCAATGTACTGGAATGGCCAAATATTAATGTGGGTCTTTGTATATACAATTTTTGAATGTTTCTTTGTAAGTTGCATAATTTACAGTAAGTTAGAATTCTTAAGTGTTGAAAAAAAATGTTCATGGTTTATGTTTTATGATTTTCAATAAGTTTTATGAATTAATGAACGAATGTTTTATACTTTCAATAAGGATTTTTTTTCCTACTTTAATTAAAAGTCTCATCAGTAAAGCTACTGTTCCTAAATAACAAAATATAAATTCTTGGATAGAAGTTACTTTGAGTTAATTTATATACAGGGCATTGACTCATAGTAGTTGTGTTGTTTGTTTGTTTTTTTTACAGGTGAATCACGGCATTGAGTAAGGAGTTTAAGTTATTTAGATGAAGAGACATCTCAGTCAGTGTGAAGTTACTGAAAAGTTTTAACAGGCTGTAGCTAGACTTCTCATCAATCACATATAGCAGTCTGGGTGTAGCCCTTTAAACTCTTTGGCAACTTTACTTTGACTTTGGTTCCTCATCATCAAAATAACTTGAATTTGTTCTTCCTTACAACTTACCTAAAGGAATCATCTAACTTTTGAAAACTTGAAATAATACTTATTTACATTTTAATTTTTGCATACTTTAAATTATTCATTTGAAATCATAAAGCAACAGCCTTTGTAGTTTCATAAGCAATGCAGCAGTGTGAGGTGTATACTCATAACATAAAAGTACTATAATTTCTGTTTTTTGTCAGTGTAATGGATTTTAGCATTAATAAATTATTGGGTTGTTCAGAAAGTAATTTCGTTTTTTTTACCACTTACGAATTAGTCATATTTTTTCCGCCATTTTTATTCTAAACCATATTATCATAATATATTTTGACAGCTAGAATTTTAAGGCTTATTTATAAAAAATTTTGTTTGATTTGTGTCCATATTTGATGAGACACAAAAATTGAAATTTTTGTGTCTCATCAAATATGGAAGATCGAAAGTAGCATTTTCGACATATTTTGCTTTTTTATTACCAAAAAAATAAAAATGCCATTCAAGCGAGAAAAAAATCATGTGACATGTATGGTAGAGATCTGTTGGCAGAACGACAGTGCCAAAACTGGTTTACAAAATTTTGTTCTTGCAATTTCAGTATTGAAAATGCACCACGTTATGGATGGCCAATTGAAGCCAATGAAAACAAAATAAAAGGTACCGATTGAAGCAAACTGCCGAATAACAACACGTGAAATCACTAAGAGATTAAATTTGTCAAATTGAACTGTTTATGAGTACTTGAAACAAATTGGTTTCGTTTCAAAGCTCGATATATGAATTCCATGAGTTCTTAAAGAGAAATGCTCTATTTGGTGGGATATTATGGAAATTTTTTTTTTGGAGCTTTTACCAGACAATTTAACAATTGATTCGAAAGTGTACTGCATTTGAGTAAACAAACTGCGTAATATCATCAAACAGAAAAGACAGACAGAATTGATCATCAAAACAGGTGTAGTGTTTTATCACAATAATGTCAAATTTCACACAAGTTTGGTAACTTGTCAGAAACTGTTATAACTTAGATGGGACTGCTATCACACTGACCATATTTGCCAGACTAAGCACACTCAGATTATTACTTGTTTCAATCTATACAAATTTTTTTTTAACTGTAAGACATTTACCTGAAATGACAATGTCAAAAATCACTTGGATCGGTTTTTTGTAAGCAACGATCAAAACTTTTATGAATGTGAAATCGTGCTATTACCAGAAACTATGACAACAAATATTTCAACAAAATGGTCGATAAATAATTCAACAAAATATTTATTTATTATAAAATTAAAAATATTGCGTTTTTTCCACTGAAAAAAAAACAAAATTACTTTCTGAACAACCCAATATATATTAAAGGAATAAGCTAGACTCTGGAATTACTTTAATTTTTTTGGATTTAGGAAACATGATCCAAGTTGAAATATAACCAAAAATTGTGCTGACTTTACATTGGTGACTCTAGACTTTCCCTTTTGACATATAACTTTTTTAGGCCATCTTTTTCACTGTGTTTTAGAATTCTTACAAATTCTAATATGATTCATGAATTGCTTAGAATCAATAGTGCACAATAGAAACATAATAGTGTTATTGTAACAATATTATCCACAGTGGTGTAGCGTGGGTGTCAGCCGCCCAGGGCAAAGGAAAATTTTGCCATCCCCTTATTTAGGTATCTCAATTTAAAAGAATAAAATTCATTTCTGCTTCTGACACAATAAAGTGCTATAAATTAAAACACTTGGTGGTTTTTCTCATCTTTATTTAGTTGATATGGGTGAAAAAATTTACACGTTTCGGGCTCCTGAGTATCAACTAAATAAAGATGAGAAAAACCGCCAAGTGTCTTAATTTATAGCACTTTATTGTGTCAGAAGCAGAAACAAGTTTCAAAGCATGGTTTCATATCATTTTAAAAGACTAAAATTCAGTTTTGTCACAGAATAAGTAATGAAAAATTCCATGCTACTGTTGCCACCTTTTTAAAATCGCTGACCTGGACAGCAGGTGAGGTTTGTTCAAGCAGAAGTTCCTGACGCATGCATATGTCATTTTGCAATGTGAAGAATAATGTGTAGTGCACGTCGGTTCCAAATCAGTTATAGTTAGCGAGTAGGGAGACTCAGGTAGGAGTAACGTAATATAGATAATATAATAGAGCTAGACAACTTAGCTCTATTGGATATTGGAGGTGTACATGAATATGATTGAATCGTACAGGCAAAAAAAAGAAAGAAAGAAAAGGTTGACAGGTTGTGCACGGTATCTCCGGATAAATTAATAGTTCATCCAGACAGTGAGTCGATTCCAGGACTTTCTGGATGGTAACACTATTCCCCATGCTCATTTCAATCAATCCAAATTGTAGGTGCAACGATAATATGAAATAAAATGGTTCAAATTTTTACAAGATATTATTATTATTATTTATTGTGAAATTTTGCTGCCCCCCCTATGCTACGCCACTGATTATCCATAAGACAAAAGGCTGGTAATTTCTAGGGAGTCAATTTATTACTTGATAAAATGTTTTTTGAGACTATTATATCTTTTTGTCAGATCCAAACTTAATAATATGACTTTATTAAATGTAAAAACATAGAACAACTACAGTTGAATAACAAAAATTTCAAATAATTCATAAACATTCTAATTGTGAGATGATTCAAATCTAATGACCAATAAGATCAACATTTTTCTGTAGAACATGTAAAAAATTACACAAATTAAAACATTAAAAAATAAAAAAATAAAATAAAAAACAAAAGTAATAAAAATAAATCAACATGTAATTGTAATGGCTGGATTAGCAGCTAAACTATTAACATAAGGATGTAATAGTAATAAATTCAGTATTTGACTGACTAATATACAGTATACAGATATTTACTTCTAGCCATCTTAGTTAAGTGACAAAATAAAAATTAAAAATTTTTTCATTATTATCTGCTCAGAAATGTTATTAAGTCTGATTAACTTGTATTTGTGAATGTTATTAGCTATTCTATAGTTAGAACTGTAAAGTATATTTAGAGTAAAATTTAATATTACTAAGAAATTTATATGTTAATATATATATATTTATCTAAATTTTAAATGTTATTTTTGTATTTACTATAATAATTATAATTTTTAATTATTCTGATTTTAATATTTTAGCTAACTCCATTAGAGAAAGCAAGGTTACATTTAACTTCAGCATATACAATGAACTCATTGTTTTGGAGTAAGTGTTTACATATTTATGAAATCTTTTTAGTCTATTTTAATTTTGAAAACATTTCTTAGTTTTGATATTCTTGACAGTGTATTTGGTATGTAAAGGAGAGAATCCCAAAGAACATCCAATTAAAGCTGAAATAGTAAGTTTTCTCTTTTATATAATTTACATACAATTATCAGAACTTATGAATAAAATTTTGACACTACTAAGAAACAATGTTATTAAAATGATGACATTTTTTTATTTAAAGAAAATAGTTATTTTAAATAAATAAATTACATTTTTCAAGATCCAATGGTCATAAATAGCTTGAATTTTTTTAACATTTGAATTAAAATTTATATTAAAATCATTTTATTTCTTATTAACAACAATGAATTGGAAATTAGTATAAACTTCATTTGTTTTTCTTTCTGAAGGAACTATTACTACTAAAGTTTGTACTCTCTGAATGAACATAGAATTAAAATTATAGTGATTTTTATTTTATAAGTATAAAAATGTTTATAAATAGATTTAATATAATTTCTTAATTCATGATGGAGTTTCATTCCAGTAGTCAGAACATAGGTCTTAACTAAGTAGAAAGTAAATTGAATTATTTTCTATTTAGTTAAGTTTAATAGTTGATACAAGTCACAAGTTGCTGTAAGTTAGGAGTACTGTTATACTGTTTTATTGTTTGCTCATTGTATTATCATTTTATTGTTTGCCCACTTCTCATTATATTACAGGTAACTCTTGTATAATACTGCAGTTAGGTTCCTATACTAGGCAAAATCAAAACTAAAAACTACTATGAAAAGAGGAAATACATTCCAAAAGTTAACAAAAATATGCCATTTTACTTTTAAGATAATTGACAACTTAATTTTTATTAAAAATAGTAATAACCAAAGAAACATCTTACAGACTGTGATACATATATATGGTCTCTTCAAAAAGTTCTGGAACATTTCAAATAGCATACAATGTCATCTGGCAACAATGTATGGTGATGTGTGTTGGATAGCAGTGATCTTTCTTCATAACCTACCAGTTGCCATTTTATTGTGCTGCAATTACTTTTCATGTTACAGATTTTTATTTACTTGCTTGTAGAGGGTGGTCTGTGATTCGCAACATGCAAGAGAGCAGACCAACATTAAATTTTGCTGTAAGCTTGGGAAAACATTTACAGTGACCCATAAAATATTGAAGCAGGTTTATGGCAATAAGTGTCTTAATCATATGCCATGTTATGAATTATTTAAGAGATTTAAGGATGTTCTGCAGTCAGCAGAAGACGACCATTGATTTCATCTGACAACGCTCATGTTGCACAAGTTTGTGAAGATTATAATCATCATTTGACAGTTCAAGAAATCATCAAAGAGTACACTATCTCAATAGAATCTTGTCATAACATTCGCAAGGAAAAATTGCAGATGCATCATGTCAATGCGAAGTTTGTGCCATCACTGGTGACGAGGTCAGAGAGACACTTGGGTTGCAAGCTGTCAAGATCTTTTGGATTGTGCCAATGAGGATGAAACCTTCATAAAAAGAATTATTACTGGTGATGAAACTTGGGTGTACAGATACAAAGTAGAAACAAAAAGGCATTCATTGCAGGAGGTTGGGAAAATGTCACCATGACCAAAGAAAGCATGACAGGTCAGGTTGGAAGTGAAAGTCTAGCTAATTTATTTCTTTTTATGTTGAAGATATTGTGCATCTAAAATTCTAACAAGATGGACAAATGGTGAATTGGAAATATTATTTGGAAGTACTAAGGTATTTAAGATAAAGTTTCAAAAAGACAAGGCCTGAACTTTGGAAAAAATCTTGTAGATCCTGCATCATGACAATGTACAAGTGCCTTCATTTCTGCTGATTTATGACTTATTGGCTTAAACAGGAACACCTGCAATTCTCTACCCACACTACTCACCTGACCTCACTCCTGCAGACTTTTTTCTATTTTCAGTGCTGAAATCCATTTTGAAAGTGTGTAGACAGAAGCACCTACAAATGATTCCTAAAAATGCTTACCAGATATTCTTCCCGAAATGGCAGAACCACTGGAAGCAGTGTATTGATAAAGGAAAGTACTTTGTAGGAGTCAAGGACAACTAGGTTGTAGGTATGTATAAAAAATGAAGAAAAAATAAGTTTCAGAACTTTTTGAACAGAACATGTATGTTAAATAATGTACTGTCATTTAATTTTCTTTCTCTTACTTGCTGTTAAGCATAATTGAACAAGATCATTATCTCTATTGCAGAATAGCTTATACCTGAATTTTTTCTGTAACATTTATATTTTTCTCTCTCTGCTCTCTTTCTTTAAAAGATGCAGTAATCTGCATTTGTTTGTTTTTGCTTGATAGATCTTTGCGAATTTCATGTTATGAAGTTATGTATTTTTGAAGTTTCTTTTGAACTTTGTGCATTTTTCAGATCTGCATTCAAGAAAAAAGATTTTATTTTTCTATTAAATCTATGCCTTCCCACATGCTTTTTGTTATAAAATTTAGAACTTTGAATTTTCATCTGCATTATTCTTTGAATTGATTTGCTTTACCTCTGATTCTATTTCCACCAAATCTGCTTCATCCTCTCTTTCTATCAGTAATTCTTTAATATTTTCACTAGTCTTATTATCAAAATCTCTCCATGCTATGAATTTCTACTATTTTATAAACAAGTTCTACTATTGCACTAATTCTATTTTTTGCTGGTTTGGCCATATTTTTTGAATGAACAGTCTGGCTATACATTTTCCAACATCACACTAAAAGATTTAAATATTTTATTTCGGATCCTTCTCTTAACTTATTTCGCAATTATTTATTTGATTGTGTGTGAGTGACATTCATGTTTTGCTTTCTTTAATATGTGATTTATAATAAGTGAATTATATTTGCAATATTTTCTAATTATATAGAATGTAACAAAACATTTCTATACATAGTTTACATTTTTTTACTTCACTTAATAAATATAACAATAGAATATTAAAACAAAAATTATTGTATTATGTATTATACTATTAAAAAAGAAATTTTTAGTCATCTACTGATTGTTTTAGTTTGATTTATCAATATTAGTATAAAAGTCTATAGTAATTTTGGAATCTAGATAAATTATAATTTTTATTTTTATAGGACAGAATTAAAATGTACATGTTAAGAGCAAAAGAAATTGCTGATAAGGAAAAGGCTCCTAAAATAGACAAAGAAGCTGCTAAAAGATTTGTGAGAAGTTCTTTATGGGAACCAGATAGTGATGGTAAAAAGCTTTTTTTTAATAAACTTAATTACAATGCATTCTTGCTAATCTGAACTCTTCTTGATTTGAACCAGGTTTTTTATTTTTATTTTTTTTATCAAGTTAATGAATTTTATTTGGTTTTTAATTGTATTTATAACAAATGTTTTGAATAAAATATGCAGTAAAAATATGATACTGCATAATTATTACTTATATAATAGTTGCTTTAATTAAAGTCATATTAAATTTGTATGTTTTTATAAGAATTCTAATTTTTAGTGAAATCTATATAAATAAAAATGTAAATGTTTGTTTGTTCAAAATCTTAAATCTCCAAAAGTTCTTTGCTGATTGCTTTTAAATTTTGAAACAACATTGAATTCGAATACGTGCATGTTTTTATATTATATAGAGGTCGAGATTCCCTCCACGGGGAGAGGGACAAAATTAAGGCTTACCGTGAAGAACTGAGCTTCTATTATACTATTTCAGATGCAGTTTTTTGTGTTTTAATAGGGTATGCCAAGAGAATGTACACTAAGAAGGGATTTTTCGAAATTCCCCACCACGCAGGGAGTGTTATATATTTATAATAGATACATTTTGAATCACAGCAATGTGTGGCCGTGTACAGCTAGTAATAAATAAAAATAATGAAAACCATTTTTAATACTTGCAAAGAGCACTTAAGATGCAAAAATGAAAATAAAAGCAATATGTGCATTTAAAGAAATTTTTTAAAATAAATGTATTTATCATAAAGCTCTTCCACACATGTAATGTTAAAATACCAAATTTGACTATTAATATCTCCAAGACCAATGAACCGATTTGGAACTCCAAGGAAAATCTGTCTTAAAGTTGTTGCACCTACATTAATTTGGCTGAACATTAGAACATCTTTGAGCAGTATCAGTGAAAGAAGTTTGGGGCACAATAAAACTAAACAAAAGTTTCCTTTATTTAGACATTTTTGCTCTAATTTTTTAACCTGGTTTCACCAGCTTTTTATAGGATGTACAGTCTTCTCATACTTCTTTTTCTTTATGTTTTCCCTTCCAAGCCAAACTTTTAAGTAACTTGAACAACCACATTCAGTAATTAATTTTGATTAGCAAAAGTACACTGTATTTAAATAAATATAAGATTTAATTTACAATTTTCTTTGTTTTATAACTTTTATGATTATATTTCAGTCAAAGAAGAAAAAGAAGGAAATTCAAAATCTTCTAATTAAAGAAAATTATAAACAGTGATATATTTATTTAGAGATGGAGTTCATCTATCTAACAGAAGAGTGAAGTTTATATGCTGTAATTATACATTTTGATAAAAAAAACTGTACAGTTAAAATGAAATTAGTTTATATGTGCATAGTATTAATATGAACTTTTTAAATGTATTTTTTTGTAAAAAAAAAAAGTTAAATTTGAAATAGAAATATATAAAAATTTTTACAAAAAATATTCATAATTTTAATAATTCTTGTAAAGTGAAATCAAATTTTCAAAATGGGCATTATATGTTCAAAAAACAGAAAAATATTCAGAAATTTACAATCAGTTTTGAGTGACAGATAATCTTAACTGGTTTGATTTTTACAAGTAAATACAAGTAAGTTTATAGAAAATGAGGTATTTAACAATGTTTTTAATTTAAAAAATCTTGTGTTTTCCGGTTCCGACCAGTTCTTATATAGTTAATCGGTGCTTTTGGTATATGGTCTCAATTTTCATCTAACTCCGTTCTCGAGATTAAGGAAGAATGGACACCACAGTGGAAATCTATAGGTCTGCAATTTGAAAATTGCAACCCAATAATGTGACTTTTAAACTTGTAATTAAAAGTTTTTAATAAAAGTTTATATTTCTAATAATTAGTATATGATTACAATTTCTAATTGATCTTTTAACAAATATGAATATATCTAAGAATAATTTTTAAGTGTTAGCAAAGAAAATCAATACAAATATACAGCATGCCTATAATTCATTTAAATTGATGTTTGTTACAGAAGCAAACAAAATATTCTCATTCATTGTAATTATAGGGTTTGTAATAGATTTAATTTTACATTCCTGGCTTGTTATGTATATAGCACGGGAAAGTATTGGAATCATGTCAACTTGACCCTCCAGGTTTTTTGCAAATCCTACGTTCTGAGACCCTTAAATCCAAAAATGTGAAAAAAAAAAACTTGGTGGATGGGTGTGTGTTGGTATCTATTAATATTCGTTTAATATCAGGATCGGATAATGATTTAACATGGTAACTTTGAAATGGTAATGAAACAAACTTCGGCATGGTGACTTGTGTATTAAATTTTGGTGGTTAAAGGTGAGGGGGGAGAGAGAGGTTAGATATCATATCGCGAGTGGCGTCGGACTTAATGATGATTTTACTGATTATTAGCATTTACAATTTTTTTCATAAAACTCGTCTGTACCCTCAAAATTAAGTTTTTTTTCCATTTTATAATAAATAATTTTTAAAATAAAATATGATAACGGATGGTGCCACGCAATTTTATTCATTATGATTAATAATATGTTACTTTTTAAATAAAATCTTAAAATCCAGGAAAATAATGCAACGCGTTGCTGGATTTTTTTCAATAAAATAGCAATGTATGCTTGTCTACAGCCTGTTTTGTGCTGTTAGCCGCCTGCGTGCTACAGATATTTGGCCGCCTCTGTGAGAGCCTACTGGTATCTTTTATGACCGTTCCATACAGTTGGAAAGGGTAAAAAAAACCCATAAAATATTTGATATATTTATTTTAAGTTTATTCAAATCAAGCTGGCCTATAGGTAACAGGTTCCTTGGTTCAAAGTAAAATTTCTGCACACAATAAAACAATTTGAAAATATGAAATTAATTTTCAAAAACTTATTTACTGAGTACATAAATGTATCAGAGGCGCTCGTACATTGGGGTACATGCCCCCTTTTCGTCTCGGTTGCCCTTTTCCTAATCCTCAAGGGGACCCAAAACAACAGAAAATTCGTGACTTCTAGCCTATTCTGCAAATATAAAAAAATTAATGAACGATATTTGTCCATTGACTACTGGCACCTTGTGGGAAGGCTGATCCGGCGTTGAATCATGGAGTTTGAAGCGCCTTGCCTAATGTGCGATGCCCTTTTTTTATAGCTTGTGCTCCCCCTTTTCATAGTCTGCGAGCGCCGCTGTATGATATATACTTATGTATATATAAAAATGAATTTAAATTAAAAATGTTGGTAAGCATCTTTATTTAAATTTTCTTTTGGTTCCATAAAACAATAGTGTAAACATCATTTTAAGATTAGCGATATGGAAAATAAAGGCTCACAGGGGCGCCGATAGCTGTTTGAACGCCCGTGTGCAATACCGATTATGCCGCCCCCTGTTTAACTACGATTACCTATGCTGAGCTTGCCAGAAAGGCTCTTTGCCGCCCCCTGGACGTGCCGCCCGCGTGCGGTGCACGCCTTGCACGCCCGCTTACGGCGGCCCTGAAGGCTCATTCGCAATGAAATTAAGCATAAACATGAAACCTTGTACCTACGACATAGGTATAGGTACAATGTTTTATGTATTAAGTAACATAGGTACTGTACATTCACAATAGGGGTCACCCTAAGTTTTTTTATAGCAATCGCCAATCCATTCACCAAACATTTTTTATTCACCAAAACAGAAAGTTATTCGTCAGCTTACTTTTTCACTTATTGTGGCTTTGTACCAATCAGAAATGAAAGGACGACTGACAATGTAAAAACACGCAGAGTTTTTATGACTGATTTTCTCAAGTAACTTTATTTTTTAATTTTGGTTTATAAAAAGTAAAATTATTTCGGGCCGAGACTGATTCATGTTCATTGTGATATTTTTTTTACCAAGTGACATTTTTTTCTTTTTGCAGACTGCTCTGCGGCTATTTGTCACTCCAATTGCCTGATGTTAAAAGCAATCACAAGATGAATAAAATTTTCGCAAATAGACTCCTGATAATGAGTTGTGTAAGTGTAACGTTAGTATATATATAAGGGGCAGCCAAGTGAAAATGAGACAGATGGGAAAAAAGTAAGTAAACTGTTTATTATTTCAAAAGTAATCGCCATAACTGTTAATACATTCATCCCACTGTGAGAAAAGATGGTCAATGCCTTCATGGAATAATGTTTGCGGTTGCCTACGGAACCATGATTGTACCCAGGAGTGAACATCTTCATCCGAAGCAAATCAACGGCCACGAATGTCTTTCTTCAGGGCTCCAAAAATATCGAAATCGCATGGGGCGAGATCGGGACTGTATGGAGGGTGTGTAAAGGCTTCCCAGCAAAACTTGAAGCGCGCCATCAAGTCCAAACGCCCAGGAATGTTGACAGACGGCATCATTCCGTTGCAGGATAATAATCGCGCCACATGTTGCCAAGGTTGTTTCGACTACGCTGCAGAAATTTCTCTGGGAAGCCCTTAGCAGCCACAAATTACACAACATTTGCTCAAGTAACGTAATCCACATGATGTGGATTCCACAGATGTGGATTGGCTATAGAACAAGATTTTATTATAACCTATAGAGGAAAAGGTGGGATTATGGAACTCTGCAGGTATTATGGCACCCCTCTATTTCAAACTGATAATAAAGGCGAACTGTAGCGGATTGTGGCTGAACTGCACTAGGCAGACATCCATAGCAAGGGGAAAACCCGTTTCACTTCAGCTAAACGGTAGTCCTAGTGAATCAGCATATTTGTGTTTTTCGAAATTCGAAAATTTTGAATGGTAAGTTAATTTAATTATTTCTAAAATATAAATCGTGTAGTTGTAGGTTCACTGGTGCATGTATTTCGTTCCAGAGACTTAGGGGTACATATTAATCTGTGTGATGTTCACGTTTTTTAAAGTTTGGTCTTGACAGACATAAGTTAATTCAAGATGGCGATGCGTGAAATACCATTGGTGCTTTTAATACGGAACCCAACTCCTCCAAACTTTTTCTTTGCAAGCAAACATTCGTCCGGAGCAATTTGTGGAAAAGACTAGGTAGAAAGCCAATTCTTCCCGAGAATATCGAAAAAGAGCTGCTGGAATATATATTGTTGATGGAGGTCATATTTTTCTGTTATAATGGCATTTTTTCGATAAAATATATTGGAGTAAATAATTTTGTAATTATTTAACATTCTTTGTACTTTCCTATTTGTTTTTGGATACATTAAAGCATTTTTTTGAAAACATACAGTAAGGTTCCCTATTACCACCCGGTTTTCCCTAAGCCTACTTTCTGACTTTTTGTACATAAGCCTTCAAAAACCATACTTACAGTTACACTAGCGAAAAATCCAATTAGGAATATTTAGTTTAATAGTTACCAGTACTTTTCGCACAAAAAATGTGGGTGTAGTTATGATACCTTGTTTACAATTCACTATAATGAAAATGGGGTTCCATAATACCACATTCTCCTCTACTTGTAATCAGTCAGTTTTCGTTCCGAACTTTGAAACAGCATGGGAAAAATATGTTTTAACTAGCCGAAAACTATTTATATAGGCCTATAACTATTTACTATTTACATACAACGTTTATACTATTTTCTTTTCAATACTGAATGTATTAATCATGTAATTTACGTACTGTTCATCGATAAAATTCTTATTTCTTTTTCGACATGTGACATGTTCATGTAGTCATCCATCTTCCCCGCTCTCTCTTGCTAGCGTGACTGCTCTAGCTGTTGAATTCTGTGAACAGCGAGCGTACTCTCGTATCGCTGCGCTAGCAAAGGAAAAACTGCGCGGGCAAGAAGAAAGGAGCCTTTGACGTCATCCGTTGTGCTAGCGCACGTTTGCTAGCGTTTTGCTCTCGCAAATGGCTAGTTTGCGGCGGCTCTTATGATTTTCGTGAATATTTTCAATCAGTTTCATTTTTCATCGCTCATCCATACGATCGGTCTATATGCCAATAAGGCTTCTCCGATGGCTTGATGACTGAAACAGTTGATGACACTTTTGGGGAGACTAGAGATCGAATCTGGACAATCATCACCGGAAATTTTTCATGGGTGGTTTGTTCTGGATATGTTGAGTCCCAGCCCTCACTATCCGTCTGCTCCATTATGGATCTGGCCGAACCCGTGATGGGACTAGGAAAAGGTTCTCTGAAGTTACGTTTCATAAGTTCTCTGACTGCCGCAGGACGGAGTCTAAAATGAAAAAAAAGTCAGGTTTCTTGTAATGGACAAAATTCTGCTTGGTAATAATCCATAATTAATTAAATTGATAAGTTTACAAGCAGGACTGTCGAGAGCTTGTATGGGGTACGGTGTAAGAGCAGGACCTTTTATATTTTAAACAAATGAAATACAAAGAATGTTTTTTGTTGATAAAAAGCAGTATTAAAGATTTTATTTTCTGTCAGCAAAAACAGCACTAATTTTATAGAGATAGGAATCACTATGGACCCCTAAGTTTACTCCTTGCCCTGGAAAAATTTCCAGCTTCCTTCTTGATGGCTCTTTTCAAAAGTAATCCAATCTGTCTTTCAGAAATCTTAATGCTATGAGACTCTTAATGAAAGAGTCTTAATATTATCATTAATAGATACATTGAACTCAATATTAATATTGTTAGTATCAAGTTCAAGGCATCATTTTTCAGAGCTTGAAATTGATACAATGATTTTGCAATTTAATACACGTTTTATATTAATACCTAATATGTATTGAATTTATATTTAAGTTATATTATAATTAAGTTCTATTTACTTTAAATAAAAATTATTCAACAAGAAGACGAATCGTTCAAAAATAAATAAATAAATAAATAAATGTTCCCGACAGAGGGCAGGTAATCTGCCAAAGATGTCATTGATGATAGTGCACGTGTCCCTCAAGCATTAAATATTACTAACGTGTTCTACGTTTTTATTTTCATGTAGTTTTTACTTAAATAATTAATAAAAAAAAATTTATATAAGATTACATTTTCTCAGATTTTTGTACGGAAATATTGCAGTATTAGTATAAAATGTAATTTTTTTCCACTTCTAGAACAGAGATTACGCTAAAGATCGACAGGGAAATAATATGTATTATCAGAATACGTTAAAAAAATCACATGTTCGATGAACACCAGAATACCGCTTAGAAATCGCGTTTAATACTGGCAATGATTAAACACTTTGAAGTTTTTAAATGATCACACGATTGACCACTATTCAGTGACATCACACCAGAAAAAAGAAAAAAAATAACATTGAGTAACTTCGAACAAAATCGCAGATGTAGCAATAAGACCGCAGACAAAGGTTCCCTTGTAATAGAACTTAATGTTCGGTGTAAGGCGCAGCAGTTGGTTGAAGATTATTTCATTCCAGAGAAAAAACCTTGAACATTTGCGCATATAAATTTCATTCGGAGTGAAATCAATTTGGATATCGTTAAATGATAAAAGGCCATTGGTGGCTCCCTCTAGTTTACATGTATGCTCCAAAATCTTATGCTAATAGACACGTGGAATATTCCTTTACATTTTTTATTTAAAGTCGGTCGTGAATATTTCATAATAACTCTTTATATTTTTTTTAAATATTTTTTCAATTGTCGATTTAAAAGGGGAAAATGTATTATTTTTCAGTTTGAAAATTAATTTTTAAAATTCTATGTATATATAATTATACGTATATAATCATATACTTATTTTATGATAATTAAATTTAATTTATATATTTATTTTCAACTCCATTGTCACAAAGTACTAATTTTAAATACTTAAATATAATGTTATTCGGAAATGTAGAATTATGACGTATAACAAATAGAGATAAATTTAACCTCACAATTTTAATCTGAATTCAAACAAGTTCTGAATAACATTTATACAGTTATTTATTTTGTAAATAATTGTAGAAAAGCTTAATTTAAAAAATAAAAATATATAGGCCTATATCAGGTCCATGTGCAAGAGTTTTAAAAGGGTGGAGTTTATACAGGTATACATACACTTTTTTGTATTATTTTATTTTTTAATTCTTTCCAAATGGGAGGTTAAACCTCCAGAAAACCCCGTNTACGGTACAAATGAATTCACTGTCAAGACGTATCCATTAAAAATTGATCAAGAAACCATTGTATTCCTAGTTACATCATAGTTTAAAACTAAGACGAATTATAAGTGAAGTACGTTTATTTTTATAACCTTACTCGCTTTTCATAAACATTCCGCACCCATCAACGTTCTCGTTTTTCATAAAATTTGCTTCTTTTTTATGCAGTGCAGTGTTACGAACTATCCGTTTTCTTTTCTAATTTGTACTTTTAATAATTAAAAAACATGAAATCGAACCCGGTATGCATCTCCCGCTTACCCGTCAAAATTCGGTGTTAAACAGGAAAGCATCTTTATAGGCTAAGATAGCATTAGCGCAATACACGATAATAATAAATATAACATTAATGCCTAATTATGTTAACCTAGAGCGTAGTTTATGTATGCATCGAGAATTTCGCCCGAAAATAATGTTAACAATTCATTCGATTTAAAGAAAAACGATTAGACGTAACAGGATTCTTTTCACCACAAGTCTAATAGAATATCCTTTTGTGAATTTTTGATATTTTGATAAAGATCATAAAAATGAACGGAAAGAAAAACTTTAATGAGGCCATTTTTAAATTGAATTATTATATTTTGCCATAGAAAAATAGATTTTAATTGTTTTGCACAATGAAACACGAACCGTATTTAGCGTAAACGCTGACGTAAGAAGATCAATGTCATTTATTTAACAAACATAATTTGTCATTATAACAGGTTGCCTTCTAACCCACACGGACGATTCTCGACGACCAGTCATCGATTGTCATACGATTTACAAAACCCAAACAATACCAAGTTACCTTATATTTATATTTATCAATAGAACATAGTTAATATAACAAGCTATACTGTAAGACATACGAAAACCTTCCTTAATTGTAAAACATCTGTTAAAAAGAGCCAAGAAGCTGATATCATTACACGGAGTGAAACACGAAGGCAATCCCGACAATGATATCACAACACGTCAGAAAATTAAACAGAATTACTTTTAATAAACGGATATTGGATAGCCGGACTTTCCTATTATATCTATTAAAGTTTAATATAAGTAGTTTAATATTCATTAAATTAAATATAACAAATATAGAATACAAATACTTTCATATATTAATCAAATAAATTGATAAAAACGTATGAATTTAGATTATGCAGCTTAATTAAGCTCTTATATACTTGGCAATTTATAAATAGTAAAAGACTAGATTGAAGTGAAGCCTTCTATTTATATTTATGGAGTGATCTATTCGAAATGAAATCCAACACTAATTAAGATTTTGGGAAATTTAAGATAGGGTAAAATCCCTAATTTATTATTTTACCCTTTTCCCGATTGAATATCGCGCTGTTTTATCGAATCTCTTGATATAAATTCTAAAAAAGAATGAAAAAACATGTAAGATAAACATGTACAGTGTAAGATAAACATGGAAATTTTTAAATATTCAACATTTTCGAAATTAAATATATATATATATATTGTTAGATAGAATGTAATATTTCATCGCATTTAATAATTTTATAAAATTGATAAATGTTTAAGTGTTTAAGTTGAGTAAACAGTTAAAATCACTTAATCATTGGTTTAAAGAGAATTGATTTAAACAACGGAAGTTGTATTGTCTGTTTATATATCAACACACTATATTCAGTCTGTGTTACGTCTATGAATGCAGGGTTATCCAACATTTAATGCTTATCGAAGGTGCTGTCGCTATCTTGGCCATTCCAGACTACTAAATATGGAAAGCAGAGGACATAACCAAAATTGGATTGGACGTTGCCAAACATAGCTCCTTGTATTTCCCGAGTTGGCAGCTCGCAGCGTACTTGTCCTCTGAGCTCACTCTCGGCAAAGACCCGATTTGGAACAGTTTTGTTCCGTTTTACCAATAATAAACAATTTAAATTCTCGTCACGGGAACGTTAAATTATAAGAGGCCGTTCGGAAATCGGTTCCCTATACCGATTCGACCAATCCGAGAACATTTTACATCGGTGGCATTCTCTTAATTATTCCCCCTAAAATGATTATTTTCTATTTGATTAATTAATTAACTAACTGTTCTACGAAGTGAGTAAAATTTGGATAACATTTCCCTCTCGATAATTTAGAAAGAAGATATTATTCGCTCGTTCCAATTCTCCTTCTTTGGTTTACTGCCAAATACCGCAAACACCTTTTAAAGTAGAAACTCTATTTTCATCTTTGAAATGTTTTCAAATTATCTATTATATGTTTATTTTTAATACTGTCTTTTTCAACGTATTTGCTTCGCCAATTGTTGAATTGCTATACTTATTGAGATCCATTACTGTATTATTTTTAATATTTTCGTATACCGGCAGATGGCGACTTACGGGAATTTTCTTTTAATTATTAAATTATAATTTTTATAAATATTATATAGGGTTTTACTTAAGCTTTATCTTACAGGAAAGTATCAAGAATCAATTCAATTCGGGCGCATCTACGCCCGAAACTATCATTTTAGGAAACGGAGGTAATTCTGCTACGGTCACCAGCACCACTCTGTCTAGTCCTCTACCATTGGCTACCGTCCCCGTGCTGACTACCTCTAGTCCAACCACATCCTCGCCTACGTCCGTCTCTATGCAGTTACAACAAACGGCCGGATTCGCCACATTTTTAGCGCAAGGTGCGTCATGTTTTCGGGGAATTACCGAAGCGAAACGGAAAAATGACCTTTTTTAATACCCATTTATTTATTTATTTATTCATTTCTACAGGTAATTCTTTAACACCAGGAACAACGGTTCAAATTGGAGCATTTCCAAATCAATCTAACGTTCAGCAAACGCAAAATCAAACACCAGCTGTCTACAGACTAAACCCGACTGTAGTATCTATTCCAAGTTAGTATTATTTAGGAAATATCATTTCACGCATTTAATTAACTCTTTGATATATCTGGAGGCCAGAAAACAAATTTTAAGGACCCTTAAGCTATGCTTAATTATTCATACACTTAGCCAAAAAATTACAAGACTACTTAAAATACATTATATAATTTATGATTAATGAAACAAAACTGAATTAATTATAAAATTCGACCAATCGCATCTCTCTGTTGTTTGGCATTTTAAACCTTATTAAAAAAAACTCTATTTAATTGGATTTAACATTTATAAAATCAACAAAATATAAGTTCTACAAGGATTATTTTATAATTTATATACCATAAAATAGGACTACAATAATCTTAAATTGGATATAGGCTAAATAAAATGAAATCTTTTCTTAACGGAATTTAAATAATTAACCTATAAGTTAGCTTGTTCATAGTTTTATTATCGTATTTAAAACACGTGTTATAATGTAAATATATATGAGATATGAATTTCCATTTACGGTCAAAAATTGTTTTAATACAGATGAAAACTCGTAATTCCCGAATATTTGTAATGTTTTACGTAAATACGTAAAAAAGTCGTAATGTCCTGGATACGTTCCTACAGGAAATTTTTACTTCCTCCAGAGAACACAATAAATACACAATAATGATAGTATATGTGAAAGTTACTGTTTCCACGAAATAAGTCTCTATCGGAATTCCGATGAAAATGTTTTAACATATCTTTAATGGATTTGTGGATCGCAGACGAGTTACTTGTCTGCATAAATTCGAAAATAACGTCCTGTATACGCCTAATAAACAGTATATATATACTGTGATTTATATATAAAGAGCTTTCGGGAGCTCTTATAAACCCCGGTGGCCCAAGGTTAGAGCGGGCCCTATGCCTCTTAGAGGGTGTCGTCAGCCTTTTGTTTATTTATTAATTGTTTTTTTTTTGAACAAATGAAATACGTAGAGTGTTTCTTTGTTAATAAAAATCATTCTTATAGATTTTAGATAACGTTAATTTTATAGGGGTAGGAATCACTATAGGGACCGAGAAAAAATCTCCAGCTCTTCCCTCTCGACGGCTGATGTATGTATCGGGCCTGTATCGGGCTGTCGAGAGGGATACAGGTATGCCCATATATACATCATACATGTAGATGACAGATTGCTGCTAACTCTTAGAGCCAGTTAAATTTGAAAAACAGAAATTTAAATAACAAATATCAACCCATGAAGAAAGTAATTGAACAATAGAACAGATTTAATTTGTTCTAATTGAGTAGTGAAGCTTATAACATAGTTTACATTGAAATATTTTCCTCGCAGCAATCAAAATCCCATTGACTTAACTTTTATTTGATAAGCAATTTGGCTATTTGAATTCAACAAAAACAATTTATAAACAGATTTTTTTAAGATTTAAAGTTTCAGGAAAGGTGTTTAGCTACCTTTAATAAGTATTGAGAATCCACCGAGAATTTTTAAATAAAAAATATTAACATCATTTCTCTGATAAAGATTATGATGTTATCGGATAAAATTGCCAAAATTTTAAATGCTGTATAGGTTTGTAGTTTAGTTAAGTAAAAATTTAATTACTATAAATTCCATAAAAGTAGACACATCTCTTCATTACATGGCAATGCTTCAGGAAGAGGTACAGTACATATCTTAATTATCGCTTAACGGACAAAATTTAAATGACTTTATTAAAGAAAACTGCATGATTAAAATATCGTATGCAAATTTAAATCTCTTAAATAGGCCCAAGTCACACGAATCTTATGAAAACTAAATCGAAATACGTTTTTAGAGACACGCCACACGTTATAGATAAAATGGGTAGTGACTAAATTATATAAATCGATTCACTTTTATTTTGATAGCATAGAACCGGATTGCAGCTTATTCTATGTTGTGTTGTCTTCAAGTTGAAAATTGAGCAACGTAAGGCCTTTTTAAAAGTCTTTTTTATTTAAACTCAGGCTTGTTTATTGGTCAATAAAAGATGATTTTAAAAAAGGCCTTACGTTGCTTAATCTTCAACTTGAAGACAACACTACACGATCTATTTTTAATTGAACGAATTAAATTTGTATTAAAAAATCAACGACTTAAATATAATTAATTTTTATTGATATTGTTTGATTTTTAGATGATACAGAATAGAGCTGTATATTTAATGTATACGCTACGTTATTATTATTATAAATATTTATCTAATTATCATTTGTAATACATTTATAATTAAGGATACTTTTAAATATCGTGATAAACAGGACACTAGTAGGACATAGTCATTTATGAATTATTATAATTATTAATGAAATAATATCACCGAAAATTGTGGCATTATGATAAATGTACTGTACAGTACAGGGGCTTACATTCTGCTGGAAATAGTATCTATGTATTTTATCCGTTTGGTCTTGTTATTTACGATTTTATGATAATAATAATTATAATACTTAAACGTATNTTTTAAATGAAATGAAATAAATATAAAAAGTAAATATTTTATATATTTAAATGTTATAAATTAAGATAAAAAAAAACATGCGATTATAAGAAATGTATTTATTTTGTAACGAAAATTGAGTTAAAAATTTTATTTTCACAGAAACTTAAAAGCTATAATCTCTCGTGTTATAGTGGTAACAATCATTAATATAAAATTGGCATGGCAAAAAGGATTGGCCTCATTTTTTCGTTAGCCCTATAGTAAAAAGTATGAAGAGGCCCAACATTCTGGATCACACAACTCTACAATTTATAAAAACATTAAGATTATTAAGAGTAATAAACACAGATTATTTCAGAAATAATCTTTATTAAAGAAAACTTTACAATTATTAGTAGATCTTGTTTTAAAATTTTATTTATTATTATTTTGAGAGGAATGTAGATAGATTTTCAATTATATAGCCTATATAATGAAACAAATATATGCATATATATTTATACTCGATTCTTTCATTTAAGTATTATGTTAAGAGTTGAGAGGAGGAAATGTGTGAGTTTAGAAGACGCGTAGCGAATGATACATAAACTTGAATAATCTATATCAGGAAGGCATATCTAATCGGTCGACTTTCATGCTAAAGGGGATGTTTATTCTAAGTCATTCTCGAGTGAACTGACCATTTCTAATGCTTGTAGAACGAAAATCGTTACGGAATTCCGGTAGATAAATGGGCACGATATTTGTTCTTCGTAGAAATATAATGATAATTATATAAATTTAAACTAAATCATACTGAAGAATAATGTGCCCTTTATTTATCCATTCATTCTTTCTTTCCTTCTGTTAATCGGAACTTAACTTGAGAGATAAATTTTTGGAATATTTTACAGATAAAGGTATGTGAAATATAAATATTAACTCAGGCATATTGCTGTTTTATATATTTTATGTCAAAGAACTAGTTTTAAGTTCAAGGCTACAACATGAAATTTTTCCCTTTTCCTTTCTTAGAAAGATATCATCATCTCAACTGGTGCATTGGAATCGATCGATCATCGATATAAGATCGATCTTCTTTTAGTCAGTTACGTTGCTCCCATTAAATTTTGATAGGTTCAATCCATATTTAAATATTTGGATGATCCGTATCGAAAGCTATTTTAATTAATAACTAATAAACATAATAATTATCAAATTTCATTTTAGGTTAGAACACAAAATTATTTTTTAATATATTTATTAGATTTACTTCGAAAACTAATTTTGTGGATTTAATATAACACATAATTCTATTAATTATCGTTAAACATTGATATATTCCTTCGTGTGATTCATGGCTCTTCCTGTATTCTTATACGCATTTATATTGGAAAAACATAGTTTTATCATTAAAAAGGTGCAGTCAATACCCGGAACTTTGGTTTTAATGATAGGCTCAGGATGTAGATGTGAAAACATGTGATTACCATGTTTTAACAATGCTAATTTTTTAAAAATGTTTTCATATAAAAGTCGAGCCAAATGGACAAACAATGAATATTTTGATTTAAGTATTTACGAAGAATTTTATTTCACTATTTATAAATTTACTTTTAAAACAGAAGAAAAACGCCATTATTATTATTATTATAAATATTTATATACATTAATATTAACTTAGGGTACCACCGGTGGGAGGAACAGAAGCTAAATAAATCTTATCAAACAGAAGATAAATCATTTCATTTATTTGTTGAGTTATACATTTTTCCAAGAAAAATTTGTTATCTGATTTAATAAATTATGCTTTAATATGCGAGTTATCTTCATAAAACGAATACTAATCATTGTACTGTACCTTTGTGGACCACACGATCGTCATTGAGTGATCACAGAAGACGAAGAATATTCAGTAAGTTTGACTGTAGTTGAACTTATCGAATATTCTCCACGTTCTGTGATCGATCGTGTTGACTGTAGTCGAAGTTTTCTTAATAAATTATGTATAACTTCCTTCAGAGTCGTTTAGAGTGTGTCAACCCCAAACAAAAGTGTTTAGATGGACAGCTGATTGGTAACCATGTGCGAGAGAGAGCGAGAACTAAAGAAGCCAATTCGTCTTTACATGGTGCAATCGTGCAAAAAATCGATCCCGTGTGACAAGAGAAAACCATTTCTTCGGAAAATAAGCAATATTTCGTATTTTTAGTAACGAAAATAGTCATGTATTTCCCGAAAAGAGGAAGTAATTTTCGAAGCCAGCAAACTGGGTACCGTCCATTGAATCAATTAATGGAGAGAGAGAGAGAGAATTTCGATTCTTTAATATCATATAACTCTTAAAATCTAAGACGCCGTGCACTTGTCTCAATAGAAGTCGAGTGAAGTGCGAGAAGGACTGTACTACATCACTCAATGCCCATATATGGCTTACGTCTCCTTATATGGAAAGATCGTTTCCAGACGTAGAAGGATGTACTAGTTAATAATCCATTCGCCGGGGTTAAATTAACTAATGTCGAGTTCGGAATAATCCGATTCGACTAAAAACGAAAGGGAGAGAAGTTTAGAGCCGAATGAGTTCGCACTGACTCGGATTAACGAGAGGTGACGGTTTCGGTCGGTGATTTTTGCTGGGAACTATTTCGTCACTCGGATAGATACAGTCGGTTCGCGTCTAAAGTGTTTACCCGTGTGGAAGAATTGGAAGTCAGTTGATGCGAACATGTCGGAGTGAGCGTTTGCGCGATATTTAGTTCTTTAATTAATGATTTTTTGCTCTTTAATTAATAATATGCAGAGTAATATAGTGTCGAAACAGGAGGATGTTTACCAGAGTAGTTGTGCCGTCTTTCGTATGAATGGTGCAAACGAAAGAGCGATGATAGAAGCCAACGGAGGTGGACAGACTTATCTCGGACATAAACGAAAGATGGAAGAAGAGGAGAACACGGGACAAGAAAGCAAAAAATCACTTCCACCCAACGGTAAAAAAACGAAAGGCAGAGTCAAAATCAAAATGGAATTCATTGATAATAAGTTAAGACGTTACACAACTTTCAGCAAGCGTAAAACCGGGATTATGAAAAAGGTTTGTTTATTATCCTAGTTATTTTAAAAGTTGCATTAATTATCGTGCAGCCGCTAATTAATGAATTAAGATAGTTTCTTTCTGCCTGACGTCATTTTGAGTGGGAGATTATTGTCGCTGTCAGAACAGCTGTGCACGTGTTCTTATTTCTTAAAAGTGAGAAAGTGCATTTTATCAACAACCTGGGGCGAGTTTGACCGTATCCAACGAACATTTACCATCGGATACGTTTATTGTTAAATTTTCGACCGTTTTAAACCATTCTATAACGATTTAAAATGCTAATAACGTAACAGGTGTATTTTGATTGCTGAGTAATAAACCGTTTTGCTTTTTTTTTGTTCTCATTTCCGTGGGAATAAGGATTTATGCTTATAATTTTTGTGACGTTTTATTAACGTTAATTGCCAAAAAATGCATTTATACAAAAAATAACCTTGTCTAAAACTTTCTTTTTTCTTCTATGGGTTGGAAGCATCTGCCGCTATGGTGATAAAACCGTTGGTTGAAGCGCTAGAAAGGTTCGAAGTCGCATTTGGAATGGGTTTTTTTTATGGGTTTATTTAGACTTTATAGCCGAAGTAGAACATAGTACAAAAGAATTAATAACTTGGGTGACAAAGAGAAAGTAGGCTTTGAAGAAACAGGACGAGATTAATGACTTAAATCTTCTTTCGCTAAACTAGTTTCGAACTTGTATTAATAGCTGATCTAACAATTCATAAAATATTCAAGTGGTTTTTTAAATAGTTTTATGCAATAACTGACGAAACAAGAAATAAATAGCGCCGAAATAGATTTCTGATCAGCTGATTTCTTTTCGCTTTCGAGCTGATCGGGCTGAATAAATGAAAGCTCCATTGATATACAACTCGTTCTCATTAGCAATAAATAAATAGATTAAAGCAAAATTCAAACGTAATTCTGTGATGTATTAAATTAAATCATCATCGATTACGTCATCTTAGATCAAATCTGTTCTTAAATATTGTTAATTCAGTCATTTAAATCAATATTTCGAAAAAAAGAATGGAAAATGCTTACATGAATTTGATACGTTAATTAATATGAATGAAGAGATCTGAAGAGTTATAAATTGTATTCTTTAGAATGAAAACACCTATTCTCAGATTTTTCAACGGTTTATGAATGAAAATTTAAAAAAAATTTACAGCCAAAACTTTAAAGATTTTTTAGTCTAGTGTATTAAGAAAGATCCGCAATAGTTAGATAGCAATGCAGTACGCATAGAGATCTTATCTTTAAGTGTTTATAGTATGGCTCTTAGCGGTTATGTAGAGTCTCTTTAGATAATCTTAAGTGATTGCATTAAAAGTATGTACGTAACATTAGATTTAAAATTTTATATTTGCAGGCTTATGAATTATCGACACTAACAGGCACTCAGGTAATGTTGCTGGTAGCGAGCGAAACAGGACACGTATATACATTTGCTACCAGAAAACTGCAACCAATGATCACGAGTGAGGCAGGTAAAGCCTTAATCCAAACATGTTTAAATTCTCCCGATCCTCCAGGAGGAAACGGGAGCACAGCACCCGATCAAAGGATGAGCGCAACTGGATTCGAAGAGACTGACCTGACATACAGCGTGACAGATGAAACCGACAATAAAGTAAGTACATCAGTTGTAGCAATTAACAACGGTCGAATGTTACGCTGATAACTTTCCAACATTGCACCCTTAAATCAGGACCGTACTGATTTTTCTGGCGCCTTAGAGTCGGTCGACCTGTTTTACCGCCGGGGAACATTATGATTAAAATAATAATTTTTTTTAGGGTCGCTAAATCGAAATTTCTTATTATTTCTAGATGTCTCACCTTCCAAATTTGAACCAGATTCCCGAATACACAACGCAGAAACTCCCCCCTTTCTATATGATCTAGCGTTTGTTGTTATAGAAGTAAAACCCATTGATGGGTCGACAGTCTGGCACCCGCAGCCTTGGAATCGACGTCAAGCGTCCTTGCTGCAGGCAAACCACAGCCTATGTCCATATATGGAGACAGTACCTTATTTGTCACACTTCTACACTCCTTATAAGCTGCACTTGCCATAGAAGGAAGTCAGCGCCTGGATCACGTGACTGTAGTGATTGGTTCGTCTCCTTTCGATGTACCCTGTGCCATATATGGAAGTTGTCGGAGCTGGCTCCGTCTCTACATTCCAGGCTTTGGTTCTACTCGTGTTTTTTTAATTTCGTTAATTTAAAAAAAAATTTTAACTAACAAATGTGTGCTTTTTTGCTTAACACTGTGTGTTAACACTGTTATGTTTATTTTGCTGTATTGATGTACCCATGTGCATGATGTGATGATGTCTTGATGCACGATAAATGTGAGACCTGCTTCCATTAAAAAAAAAAAAATGTAAACAAAACCGAAAGTAAATTTATATATTAATTTTATAAATATATATATAAATACATTAAAAATATATATATATATTTTATTTTACCTGCGTCTCTAAAGTTATATTGTTACTAAAGTAGTTCAAATTGTTAAAGAATCTCATGTAAAACAAGGTGTTTATGTTTGTGTTGTGGAATTATTTTTATATTTGGGATCTATTTGTTATATAAATGGACTGGCAGGTATCCAGTTATTTTTGAAATATTTCTATTTATGGAAAATAAAAAAAAAAATTAAGCTCCTTAACTTTGGAGTTGGAGCATTTTGTAATCAATCACATAAATAAATAATAAAGATTGGTTCTTTTGTAAATGGTTTTGTTCTTCTGATCGCATGATTAAGATGGCATGATGACTGTTTAACTCAAGATTAAAAATAAGCCCTCCTTTAGTGCATCAAGCTATCCTTTGCTGAATAATCATAAGCATATTATCCACGAATATTTTTTTAGAATAAATGTAAAATGATAATAAATATAATCCAATAATCGCATTTTAATACTTTTTTTTAAAAGAGCTTTCGTTACTTAAATATTAACAATTATGTCTAATTTTCAATTGAAAAAAAAACCTTGAAAAATCGTTATCGCTTCGAATCTTAAATTCTTTAATGTTTGATCGAAATTCGATGTTTCCGGATATTCCTTTCATAGCTTAGAGGTCTTTGTATACTGTATATAAAGAGCGTGATTAAGTTTTGTAAGTTCAACGTTGACAAATTTAATCGTAGCGAATAATCAGATAAGGTAATGCGAATTAAGAAAGCACTAGATAATCAGACATATTTCATTCAATGGAACGACAATGAGAAAAAGAGACTCTTACTCGAGTAAGTAACTTTAAGTATCGGCTAATGATCAATTTTTGCTATAGATAAGGTATAAGTGTTATTAACACATTCCTGTTTACGAAAATCGCTTTCCTTGTAAGGACTATTCATTCAGCAAAAGCGCAGTTGTTATTTCATATACACAACAAATTACAACCGACCTCTTTAGTTATTTTTAGAATCTCCCACTCTTGCATAAGTCGCGAACGTTTCAAAAATAATGTTTATCAACATGGAAATTTCTTTTCTTATTCCGAATTTTGCTCGATTATATACGGTTTAAAATCATTTTAAATCTTTACATAGGATCCTCGTACGGGCGAATAGAATACGACTTACGATAAAGTCACATTCTACTGGCAAAACGGCAGGTTTTTTGTTATTAAATATGAGATAATTTGTATTACTTTGGCATCTTAGATGTTGCTCATCTCACTCGTTAGTGGCCTGTTACGGAACGAAAGTAGAACTTACTCGGGGTCTACTCCCGGAGGTATAATCAAGTTCTACTTTCAGATGGGACCGCACTTCCTATCTACTGACTTTTTATGATAGAAGAAAACGAGGAAGAACATTATATCTGGTTCGGAGAATCGCGCATAACTTCGAATCAGAAATAGCATTTTTATTGGTGATTAATGGGTTATATTTCGAATTAAAAAAACGTTTTAATTAGAAGTATTAAGACGTATCGGTCATTATAAATCGCTAGTTTCTCGTTACAGAATAAAACTAGATTGTAATTACATTTTTAGAACAAGGTTGGAATGCAAAAGTCGATCGTGTTTCGTATTTAAGTTAGTCTCTACCGTTGATTTAATGTAAGAGATCGAAACAGATATGAATTTATTTTTATATTATAAATATAAAATGCTACAGTAAATAACGAATCTCCCGGAAAGTTAACGCCGTAAATCAAAATGGATGTTAAGTTATTTCCGTCAGATGAAGGGCGAGGTCGAATTTCCTATAACAGGTGGATGCGAGGAAGAAGTTTTCTACGCTGAAAAAACATTGCGATTGTAACCGCATACTGTACTTTGTTTCGAAAAAGGCATAACGATATTTATTGGGGAACAAATGCCCTTTGTTTTGATGAATGAATCCGATTAATGGAAACAGCTGTCGTGTATCGTAGTTGCAGCCACGATGACCTTCTCGAACCTGTCAACGAGCTTAAGATATTTTACTAAGTTAGGCTCGCTGGCTGACTTAAGTATGATCTGCCTTTATTCAATAGTTATTTAATGATTTCTGAAGGAAAAATTAACATTACGAACGCGAATTTAATTAAAATTGTCGGTAGTTGACATAGAAGCGTGATTCATTCCACCCAAGCGAGCGAGACCCGCACCTTCGACCTAAATCCATGTGGTCGTTGTAGGCGCCAACGGAACCCAATTTGTTAGAAATCCGGCACAAGTTTTTGTAGAGCGCCAAATTTCTTTTTTCTCTTTTTTTTTAATAACTTTTCGAATGTAACTTCGATCGAATGAACTGGATTGTGTTTCGCAATTGATCGTTTATAGATTTAGATCTGATTATCTTTGGGTGTTGTGCAGAAAAACAACTTTTTTTTTTGTTCTATGCCGACTAAGAATAATATTGTCGAGATTTACCTATCTATATTTAATGAATGTACAAACGTGGATGACCGGTTTGTTTCAATTTTTAACTTAAAAACTTTTCCAAACGTCACAGCTGATATCTTAAAACTCACCAAACCTGACTTTGTAAGATGATAATTATAAAATTTATACTTTTCATAAAACAATCGAGGGAAAATTTGATATTTTCATAATAATATAAGTAAATACTTTTCGTATTACCTTAAAAAAACCTTAAGAAACAAAATTTGTTTGCAAGATTTCCGAAATGAACATCGAGGAACATTTTAATTGTTAAATGCGATCTCTAACGGAAATTGAAACACGATTCTTGACAAAAATAAGTAAAGAGAATCCTCATTTCCTGTTCGGTAAATCTGTAACAAGTTTCGGTTTTCAAATATGATTAATATGTCATTTACTATCAGGTGTTGCTTGCAAAGATGCTCTACAGGTGGTCCATTAATGTCAATCTTCAACTGTATCCATCCGTCTATCCGACGACCGATGTAATGTAATGTACTGTACTGTATTGTACTGTACGTAGTAGATGAATCACATACTGTACATCAGTCTATAATTTGCAATGCTAATCATTAAGAAATGATGTAAGTGATAAATGAAGATACGTTTCTAAATTAGTCCGTAACTTAATGAACGATTTTTTGGGGATTTATATCGGATAATTTATAGACCTCGTATGCTAGCTACACTTAAAGACTATGATTAAATTAATAGTTATTTAATTTTGATATATTTTTATACTTTTTAAGTCAATGCATAAATATAACCTATTTATATAATAATAATTGAAAAAATAATGTAAGAAATTATGTAAAGCATGCTATAATAATGGTGTAATAAAACAAAAACAGCGTTAAAATTAGCAAAAAACTTGACTTTAAATAATAATGTAAATCATATAATTTGCTATTTTTAGGAATAATTTTTAAAAAATGATTCGTTTAGGTTTTAATTTATTTGATTCCAATCGCATCCCCTTTATTTATTAACCTATTTATTATCCTAGACGAACGAATCGCATGCTTGTGAATTACGGAAAATTAAATTACGTTTTATGCAGATTTATTTATGATCAAATATATAATTTTGAATTAGTAATTCAGAAAATGGTATAAATAATAGGAAATTATTCAGACAATTTTAAAACCATTTATTTTTTTATTCATGATTCCATAAAATATATCTTTAATTAAACCTCATAAAGAAGGATTTACGTTAAGGAAAGTCTAACTAAATCGATATTTCCTGGTGTAAAAACGATTATTCAAATTCTATTTTATATTTCGAAACCTCTCAACTACGGTCAATTATTCTCTTTTCTGGTAGAGCAACCATAATAGTCAAAGGTTAACAAGAAAATCGTGATGTACAGTAGAAACTCTATAAATTTATGAGAATTTATTTTTTATATATTTAAATTATCTTTTAGAGTTTTGTAATATCGGGCAGAAAAGTTTTTAAACGAACTTTCTACCTTAAAAAAATTTTTTTAACGACAAAAACAGCATTATTACGAACGGAAATCATTATAGAATTTGTTACTTTTAGGGAATTTTTACTGTTATAATTATGTGTCGAGGGAATTTCTGGATTACAACGAATCTCGAGTAGTCTTTATATAATTTTATTCGAACATTTGGAGATAAATAACAAACTGTTGTTGTTTAAAAATCATTAGCGTAATTAGATCCGTCATTAGAGGGGCTCGAATTAGAACGTGCAAACCTATATTCACCTCTTTAATTAACAATATGTATATAGGCACTAGCGCTGTGGATGAAGAGTAAGATATTACGTATAAGTGTGTATGAGTTTGTTGCATTTAAATACTTAACCCATAAATACTGTGTTTGATTATTTATTTATTTATCCGGGCCTCAGAGTCCTTCTCTGGTTACGCTACTGCTTCAAATTGACGTTTAATAATAGAAGATATCATAATGATTTTTAAATTCATTAATTTATTAATTTCAAGCCATTGAAATAAAAATTAAAAAAAATACGCACATGCTTGTTTATATTTTATATTTTATTAAAATTTTACAAAAATTGAATTTATGTTAAATATTTTCGAACATGAAATTAATTGAAAATGACGGAAATTCAAGTTTTATTCCAGACAATTCGATCCTATCAAAGGTTAAATAGTAAAAGTCTAGGGGCACGCTTCCAGTCTATTCATAGATATGAGGCCGGACTTAGGCCTAGACAAATTAAATAATTGCTTAGGGCCCGGATGTAACAGGGCCCTCAATCGATTTGTAAGTTGATGTATGAATAAATAAAATGCTAAGTGTAAAGTGAACATAATATTTACAGCATCTAACATTACCTTGTAATATATATTATACAGTAAAACCTGCGTAAACCGGACTTTTACTGTACGTTACCGAATATTTTCTCCGGTTTGGCAGGTTTCCGTTTTGAACAGGTTTGTTTTTTTAACACAGAAAATCATCGCGCTCCGAAGAATTCTTCCCGTTTAGGCAAGTTTCCGTTTTATTAAGGTTTCGTTTTGAACAGGTTTTACCGTATAAACTTATTCTGTAATAAAAAGTTAATTTAAATCAGCAAGAAACTATTATAAAACAGTGAAAAATATGAACATTTTCTTTTATATATAACTGATGGCAATAATTAAAATTGATGCTATTAAAAAGTTTTTACTTTCCTCAAATCAAATTTTCCTCATGCATAACAATTAACCAATTCTTCCACGATTAAAAATTTTGATTACATATTAAATATTACATTTATATTTTATAAAATTGAAAGATAAATTAGAAGAAAAAAAGACGAAAAAGTAAAATTAATATATAATTACAGACGAGGTTTAATATCGTGACAAAACGTCCACGTCGTGCCGAGATAACCTAATTGCATAATAATGTATACTTGTCATTCCGAATCATATGTCAACGTGACAGCAGTTCTTTATTCCCAATACTTGCTTTTTATTTAACTCTACCTAACATAGAACAAAGTTAATGACCTTAACTAGTATTTGTTTTTTTTTAAATTTAAACTTTAATAGTTATAAAATGCTGTCCATTGCACGAAATTAAGTCACGATTTTTCATTCCTTTTGACAAGTAACGTTTGATGTACTATATTTATCGGAGGAAACAACTACTGTTCGATGACAATAAATGCTAGAGAATTGACACCGATTCTCCAATTAAAACCTTTGTTCAATTGAATCTTTAGGAATAAGAACGGAATATTCCCTCTTAATATTTTTTATAATGCAATTTTTCGTAAAGCGGAAATGCATATCATGTCTATTTGAACTATTCTTAACGTACAAACCCTAAGTAAGCATCCTGTTTCTGTAAGCTCTTCGAGGATAGGCTCATTAAAAAAAAAAAGAAGCGGATGTTGATTACATCATTTCTCCCAAATGAATAATAATTAGTTTTACATGTAAACTTATCAAATATGTTTATTTAATTATTATAACATATACAAATCTATTTATGATATTAATGAGCTCTACTCAATAACTGAGAGTAACATTCGTATGGAAATTCTTTTTATTACCTTTTTTAATTCTATTAATTATTCGATTAAACATATAAGAGAAAGATTTGATGTAAGAAGAATTTTTTTATTTTATAATTATACATTTATTTGTCATTTAAAAATGAATCACTTTATGTACAGTACGGTACAAATGAATTCACTGTCAAGACGTATCCATTAAAAATTGATCAAGAAACCATTGTATTCCTAGTTACATCATAGTTTAAAACTAAGACGAATTATAAGTGAAGTACGTTTATTTTTATAACCTTACTCGCTTTTCATAAACATTCCGCACCCATCAAC